TAGCTTGGATCGTATACAGACAAATGTTATTTTGGAGACAGTCTCCAAGGGATACATTAAATCCGTTCATAGCATTTGTTTGTAATTACTTAAGTGTATACTTCGAGGACTGTCCCCAATCTATACTTGTATATTTTGGAGACAGACTCTGAAATATACATTCAATCCAATCATAGTATTAGCCTGTACTGTATACAGACAAATGTTATTTTGGAGACAGTCTCCAAGGGATACATTAAATCCGTTCATAGCATTTGTTTGTAATTACTTAAGTGTATACTTCGAGGACTGTCCCCAATCTATACTTGTATATTTTGGAGACAGACTCTGAAATATACATTCAATCCAATCATAGTATTAACTTGTAATTAATAAAATGTATATTTTAGGGACTGTCCCTAATCTATACATGTATATTTTGGGAACTGTCCCCAATCTATACATGTATATTTCGGGGACAGTCTCCAATTATGTATTAAATGTTTATTCTAGCGACAGTCTCCAATGCATACGGATTATTGATGAGTCCGTAAAACATACATTTAATAATTAATTCGTTATAATTATTCATTTAATTGTTTATACTCTAAAATTGACTGTATTCCAGGTTTAGAAGGCTTTTTCCGATATTTTACTGATTTTATCTAGTTGGGTCCCAAAACATACATTGTACATATATATATATATATATATATATATACATACGCATATTCACCCTTCGAGTATTTACCACCTGCTCTCCAAAACTCTCAAGCTGGCAATTCCGCATCCAGAATTTTATTCTTTTTTTATTAACTGAACCGTAAGGCAAAAAACATCAACTAAGCAGTATTGTTATGCGTCTGTTCTAAACTATTAGAAATACAGTGTACCAATACAAGTACAAGTGGATAGAGTTTATACAGTTTACACCCATATTTTTAAGTCTCCAACATTCGTCTTCTTCAGGTTTAACTCGAACACGTAAATAAGATAAAGTCCGATGGGTTAACGATATTGGTAAAGGCTAAAGCAGCATCACAGACGGCTTCTCTTTGAAGCCATCCTGAGTTTGTGTTATTTGCGCACAGTCTCTCTTGCCGACTGAAAGGGGAGAAACGATCGGCCACTTTGGCAGGAGAGATGTATGGGAGATGTAGATGTGCGAAGAGAAATGCCGGCGATTTACTGATTGAGTTGTTCCCGGCTCCGACTGGCACATTGTGGATGTCAGGCGTCGACTTGAGGGAGACCTGATGAGTGTATAGTCGCCTTCCCAGACGTTACCATTATGATATAACAGCTGATACTGACCTACGAAACACTTTACTCACTCTGCATATGTAACTTTTCTCATTTATCTTCTGGATAATTGAAAGTTATGTTCATTTTTTGCTATATTTTTTGAGAACTCAAGCATGAATTAATTGTTAGGCAAGAACTAATGGGATATATCAAGTTATCCAGTTTTTTTTTTAGAGTTAATGGAATGCAATTCATCGAGGAAACTCTTCTGAGCTGCACCGCGAGCAGTTTATGTTAATTCGAGGTTGGCGCAGAAGTTTCTCTTTTCTGATCATCCTTCTCTCTTTCTTTCTTTTTTCTTTTACTCGCGTGCGTTTTACTTGGGATCGTAACGAGACCGTCTCATCATCATCATCATCAACAACATCCGGAATAACCATGCCAAGTAATCGACGCATCAAAATCATCCGCTAGAGAGTTGAGGGGTGGCAACTGCAAGCTAGTCATTTTCACATCTATTTCTATGGACAGAGAAATCAGTATATTCAATTAATTTTCATTAGTCCAACTTACCTAGTTATAAAAGTCGTGGATAATCTCATCATGTTCAACAATTCAGTATAGTTTATATTCACTTAGAAGGATTTCTAGTTATTCCAAATAGACAACAATCAACTATCAAACTAAAGTTGATAATTCTTGAAGTTTTCGTAGACTGATAGTATTTTATGTTACTCCAATTTCTCTCAAAATAGACTTTCTTGGAAATTAATTAATATCTTCAGTAAAATGTTTCTAAAAGTATAAAATAACAATACAATTATAATGATATTGATAATGGTGTAGTAAAAATTTGAAATAAAAATACAATTGTCGAGAAAGTTCTCCAAGTTTTCAAAAACTTCTTCAACTTTTCGGTGACTATAAAACATTAATTAATAAAAAAAACTTCTTCACTTATCTCCAACAAGATTTTGGTACTTACTTTAACTTTTCTTTAGATACAATTTCTAGAAACTGTTTTTATCAAGAATATTGAATGTTATATTTTGAAAATATAGACTCTGAAAGAAATGATTAAATAAAGTTATCAATTGTTTTTTGAAATTAAATAATGAAAATTATTAATCAATCAAGATTCAAATTCTTTTTGCAAAAATTTGAAACAAAAACAAAACTACTATTTGATAATTTTTCATTATAATATGTTGTTTTATAGATTAAACTGAGAATACTTACTCATGAAACTTTTCAAATCTAAAAAGAACATAAATTTTCATATTCCAACGTATTCTTTAACAGTTCGCTTATAACCACTAATAATCCAAGAATCTTCTTAATTAAGAATTTTCAATTTTTGAAAAACTTCTATTTTTTTTCCAAAACCACAATTATTTCTAAATAAAATAAAATAAACTTTACCTGTGGCTATTGAAAAAATTCGAAATATTTCACCTTCGCCCAATCTCAACTTCAAAGCTTCGAGTTGAGATTAAATCTTCTAGTATGAATTAACTTTTAATTTTTGTCTAGATTTCATCCCTACTATTACCAACATCTTAAGAACTTATAAATGGCTTTCCAGAACTAATTTATAAGTATATAAAAACTGCATCTATTTCTCCGTTAGATTTTTGCCATATACTTTTTTTTTCGTTGATTTCTTCTTTTTTATTATCAAGTCACACTTGAACTCACCCACCTGTTGACTCCAAGTGGATATCTCTTCACTCACTCTGTTTTACTTTAAAACAAAAAAAAATATATCGTCGTGGAGCACAACATTCGAAGATAGGAACCTCACCGCCGCTCTGTGATTTACGGCATAATAAAGAGGTTGCATAATGGTGAACACTCCTGCGGCGTTCTATAAGGGACTCACCAGTTCAAAAACAAGTCCCTGAAGAATATGCCCTTCAAGGAAAAAATGCTAGAATACAAGTATAATAAAAAGAAAGTATAGGGATAACCCGAATATTCATGCGTCAAATTTGATTTACAATGGACAGCACCCGCGAAAATTGGATTATTACAGCTAGTCTATTATACATATACATTTTTATTAAAGCATGAAGTAACATTGAATGATTCTATACTATCTTAAAGCCACGGACATAATTTAATCAGATGAACGTGTCATTTTTACTTTTAAAATTTGTAGAAACTATGCATAAGATAACTTGTAAAAATGATAAATCTCGGTGAATTTACTACCCTCTGTAATCTCTGAACATGAAAATTGGAAGACATTTCCGGCGAACTTGAGATTAAAATTTTTTTCTTTAAAATCACCGAGCTTTTAGTATAAATTATATACATTTATTACTTATTATTTTATACAAAATAATTGTGCGTCTTGTAGAACGTATGTATGAAAAAAAATTTTTCTTTAATAACAGAACATAGTGTTGTCAACAAAAGAGTTGTCGCTAACTTCTGCTTACAGTTTAAACAGCATCCAAATTATGACGTGATATTGCTTTCAGAATGCAGATAGTAATATTAACGATATGTTTGTACTGTTCATCGTAGCAATATTTTTCCCATATGTTGTCATCTCATAATTAATGACGATCTAAAAAATGACTTTAGTGTATGTACAGTATAGTAGTGTGCAGATAATCTTGGTGCAATAAATAAGAATTACTCCTTAGTAGTCATAAATGCCACTTTGGTATAACAGCAACATATAGTTCACTGAAGTGAGCTTTTTTCTTATACTATTCGATCAACTGCAGTTTATAAAAGGCGCATCTGCTACTGTTATTAGTATTTTTTACCAAATAACTTAAAAACAAAATTCATTGAGTATATAATTTAATCGAAAGTACAATTTTTAAAAATAAGACGTGAATGATAATGAGTTTCTTTCATTATTTAACAGGTTACCTGCCCTAATTCGTTGTGTTGCGGATCATTAAGCTTGATCATATCGCTTTCTCACTTTAAAACAGAGACTACAGTGCTGCTTAAGTCACGGCGGCTTCTTTGATGTTGAAGCTTCTGTTTCTACGGTGTTTCCGCTGACGGCTACCGTCCTACTGGAACTCGACCCTAATCGCCTAAGACGGTGCTATAAGGAAACAAAAAAAAAATCTAGAAACTTTCAGCATCCCGCAAATGACTCGACAATTTTTATTCAATCACTTTTATTGTCAGATTGAAATCAATTAAAAAACAAAAAATAAAATGCCCCGACTGATTAAAATTCACTTCCGAATTCATCTCTCAAGTGGAACGAAACATAATCCTCAAGGCTGACCTATAGTCCGAAGCATAAATTTATAAAGAGATAAATTATGAGGCGAGATCATATAATGCCGGCAGATCGGATCGGTAAAAGGGAAGGAACCTCAGGGAACACGGCTACTGGATTGCTCGCTACTCGTTCCAAGATCCCACTCTTTTACTCCTCAGCTCATTCTCTGCTCGATCGTATCCTCATCTTGTTCGATGCGCTTGGCTAACTCGCCCCAGGTGCCGACAAACTCGTCCTCCTCGCTGGGATCCCGCGTGGCCATCAACTGGGTTTCCTCGCGATGCGGAGCGACGCACTTGATGTCGGCACGACGACCAACCGAAGCCCTACTGCTGCCTCATCACTTCCAATGAACTCTTTGCTGTCGTGCAGCAAACTACGATCAAAATGCTCTCTTTATCTTTTAAAAAATTCCCCAAGTCTCTTCTTGTGATCTTTCTACCAGAAACTTTTTCAAATCACTTATTTTCAATCAATTAAAAATATCATCATCACTTTGATTTATTTCTATTTTCAGATGGCAGCATGTTTAGTAGTATTAATTTCACATATATCTGCGGATGAAAAATCTACCAACACAGTATCTCTATCGGCCGGTTCTCCAGTTATTCAAAGTAATACTATCCAAAAGCTTATCAAAATCTTGGAAAGGTATGGCCAAGAAGAGCAAAGAGGCCTCAAACGAGTATATCTTAGCAACCGGTCGATCACGTGCAACGATGGTTCTCAGGCTGGATTTTATCTGAGGAAATCCCACGGTTCAAAGAAATGGATAATATTCCTAGAGGGCGGATGGTATTGCTATGATCAGAAGAGCTGCAGGAACAGGTGGTTGAAGCTAAGACATCTTATGACGTCTACTCAGTGGCCTGAAACTCGAGATGGTAAGGATTTCATCTTTCACTATAACATTACATAATACCGCTTTATTTATTATTTTATCAAGTTTATCCGATAGTTATTCATTACATTATCTATTAATTTCATTTACAGTTGGTGGAATTTTGTCTTCAAATCCTCAAGAAAATCCCCATTGGTGGAACGTAAATCATGTGTAAGTATTTTTTGTCAAAAATATAAATTGATTAAGTATTTGTCACAAAAATAAATGATCAAAAAATTACTCAACTCAATTAAATATTGCAGAATGTTGAAACAATAGTGTTTTTACAACTTTCTTCTTTTATGAACACAATAAATATACATAAATACAACTCGATTAACTTCTAAAATTATAACGTTTATTGATACTGAATCAACTGTGCTATCTGTGAATGATTTTTTATCATATTCAATCAAAGTAATAAAATTTTTAATTTATTTCCTGAAATAAATCTATCGAATAATTATGCTTATTAAACATGATATCGAAAATTAATAGTAAATAATATTCAAACGAACTTTATCGATAAATTATTCAGTACTATCTCTATCACGATTATAAATCATTATCATAAAGTAGTTTTATCGTATTTTCTTTAAAACCCTTACAATAGATTGCCTGTAACAGATGATAAATAAATGTCTTTAGACACCAAAGAAATATATTTTATAATAACTTTTAATGATTTTTTATTACAGATTTGTTCCTTACTGTACAAGCGACAGTTGGAGTGGTACTAGATCATTTCCAAGTGACATGTTCTCCTTTATGGGTGCAGAAATAGTTTCCCAAGTTGTTCGAGATCTAGTGCCCCTCGGCCTCGACAACGCTAGCTCTCTTTTACTGGCTGGAAGCAGTGCAGGAGGAACAGGAGTTATGTTAAATTTGGATCACGTTCACAATCTCGTTCATCATGAGTTAAGATTGAAACACGTTACTATTCGAGGTGTGAGCGATTCTGGATGGTTTTTAGACCGAGTACCATATGCTCCAAATGGCCTGTCTCCCACGGACGCAGTAAGAAAAGGTATGGAGCTGTGGAAAGCTCGAATGCCAAAAAATTGTGCTGCTCAGTATCCACATGAACCATGGAGATGTTACTTTGGATATAGACTATACCCAACACTCAACAGTGAGTATTTGGATTATTAATTTATCGAAATTTCAAAGTTATTTCAGCGTCTCTCAACAATTGTCTATTTTTGTTCAAATGATTCCAAATGACTAGTTGCTAGAAGTTAATCAGAAGTAAATTTATCTATGAGTTAAGAGGCTTTTCATTTATTTGATTGTCAATCAAATTGAATATAAGATTAACTAATATTTAGAAAAATACTGTAGGTATTTGGTAAAATAAAAAAAATATATATTTATTAAAGATTATAAATAATAAATAGTTTATAATCAAATGATACGAGTAACTAATAATGATAATAAAATCATAAACTAATGAAAAATAAATGCTGCGATTCGGATTCTAATAATTGATAGTAATCATATTGAACTTAACTGATTCAATGTAATACAAATTCAACAAATGTAAATAAAAGCTGTATGTCACAAATGAATAGAGTTTACTGAAATTCTAATAGCAACGAATATTCAATATTCCACGTATTAAATTAATTGTCTTTTTATTTTAATTACTGTAAATGAATATAATTGGAATGTTAAATTACTTATATTAACCATCTAGGATCAGTTGAACTAGGAATACATAGAGCTCGAATTGTGATCAATGCTTCGATACAATAAAAACAAACACTATACCAAAATTTTTCATTTTTTTAAATATTTCATATTAAAACTTTCTTTTTACCAAACATATTTAATAACTTTTTGATTGATTCATTCATAGGTTTTTAAATTTTTCCCATTAAATAAATATGATCAAATTAACTGATGTAAATTGAAAGTTTCTTTTATAATTCAACTTTAGCCGTGAAAATGTCATTTTTTATTTTCAAGTCTATTATATAAAAGTAAATGTTATTGTTATACCCAAAGCTTCAATTTCTAAACACTAAATATCTGTATAATTTTATTTAAATATAGTTTTATTTTCATTTTGACATAGCTCCGTTATTTGTTTTTCAATGGCTCTTTGACGAGGCTCAAATGACAGCAGACAATGTTGGTGCTCCAGTAACAAAACAACAATGGGATTATATCCATAAAATGGGTGATAGTCTTCGTCAAACGTTTGACAATGTCACAGCAGTATTTGCACCCAGTTGCATAAGCCACAGCGTTTTGACAAAACGAGACTGGCAGTTGGTGAAAATTGACGATGTATCTCTACCTCAGTCGATGCATTGTTGGGAAAAAAGTTATGTTAGTAATCATCGTCACAAAAATGAGTAAGTTTAATTTCTATCTTTTAAATATATTTTTGCAAATAAAACAAAAAAATAAACTCTATTTTTCACTTTTTATTAAATTGAATGTAAAAATATACTTGTTCATAACATATTTCCATTACATTGGATTCGAAAATATTTCATAATTCTATTCTGTCACGTTTATTTGAGTAAGTTTTATTTAAATATGGAGAGTGAAAAATATATTTCGATTTTTTGATAATTAAAAATAATGCTTCGTCTTCACATTATGGAATATATCAGCACTTTCTGCCTTCATAAAATTATTTAATGATCAATGAAACTGCGTAAAAGTTATTTTACTCAAATGTTAAGTGAATTAAATAAAGAACAAAAATATTGATATCAACTATTCTAATGTTTCAGGACTAACGTTCAAACAGAAACCAATCAATCTTGTGTTAAGTTGGTTCGTAATCTCTTGCGGCCTATTCATACAAAAAAGAATAGTACAGTAATGGCAAGTAGAAGTAGCAGTAATAAGAATGAAACAGGTGTTAATATAAGGCAAAATGTAACTGTTCTCGGGGAAAAAAAGACACCAAGTAATGGATCAACGGAGGGTCGAGGTAATAAGAAAAGGAAACGAAGAAGAAAGCATAAAGGAAGACGAAGAGATCGAAACCGAAATGCAAAAAATCGAGAAAGGAAGGAAAAACGTCCACGAAGAAAAGAAGGTAAAATTCTAGAAGTTTTTTTTTAGTTTTTACTATTACTACTTATCAACCCCACTTGGTATTAAAAAAAGTTTTTTCTATTTACTGTAGGACATAAACAAAGTAACAGACGTATTGGAAACAATCATCAAATTATGTTCAACGGTACACGATCTCAACGCTCGTTATTACTTCCAAACAAGAGGAAATGCGGTCAAAGTTGTCAATTTCATTTAATCGAACGGTGTACCTGGCCCCAATGTAATCACAGCTGTCCAAAACTCCACAATCCCTTTACAGGAGAGGAGATGGACTTTATTGAACTGCTTAAGAGCTTTGGCCTTGACATGAAAAGTGTAGCTAACGCCCTTGGTATTGATATACATACTCTTAATAATATGGATCATGATGAGCTATTAAATTTGCTTACGCAGCAAGCAAATTAATAAATGAAAAATACTGAAAAATAATACTTTTTTTTTTGAAATATTATAATTGTAACCTGCAGCAGGTTCTGACTGGCGAATTACAATAATTTTTAAAATGAGAGAAAACTCAAAAATCTGTAACTATAAGTAAAAAAACTTAATCGTAACTGAAGAGTAAAAAAAAGAAGAATGTTCTGCTATTTAAATGGTGTGAAACCAAAACTTCTGTACATAACTTTATTATCAAGACTTTATATTGTATTTTCAATTCACGAAATTGTATACATTTTAATTTATTTTAGTTTAAAGATAAATATTAGATGAGACGAAACATGGAAGGAGAATGAGTGCTTTAATCTCTTGTTGGACATTAAGAAATAAAAGTAATAGGGTAGAGGCTCGGTCGTTAAAGTTTCGAATTACCAATTTACTGATTCGTACGCTACGTGAGTTAAAAATTAAGAGATGTACATTTTTTTTATTGTCATCGTTACTCTGCAATTAACGAGCTGACCCTCCCCTATTTATAGACTGATTAAATTATCTACCTCAGCAAATCAAATTGCATTAACGTCCTTCGTATACCGCCTCACTTATCACACTAAACATGGTCTAATAATCGAACCAATTAATAGATAATCTTCGTAAATAAAAGTAATAATGATAAACTGAAATATTAATTATAACAATAATATATAATAATGATCATGATAGAAATAATGATACTAATAATAATAACAATAATAATAACATCAAAAATATTATTAATCATAAAAACCAATAAACTTAAAAAAACTAAAACTTAAATTTATAACTTGTATTGTATTTGTTATGTAATATATACCATTCATCGTACCATTATTTATTGTTTCTCCTATTGATCATGTATTTAATTTTTACATTTACTTCAATCAAGCACTTCTGCCGATCTATTTTGCACTGTTCTTATCCAACACAAAAATTTATTTATTTTATCAATATTAAAATTTTATAATTATTATAAGTCGTGTTATTTTTTACATGCTAGTATGTAAGTTTTATATTATATTAAATTGGCACATTTGTAAATATATTATTTGTCAATAATTATAGTTAAAAGTGTACAAGTCAATCTTCGTAAGTTTTAAGATAAAATTTCTTTTTGAAAAAAAATTTTTTTTTGTTTGAGTTGAATATTTTTAAAAATGGGATTTGAATATCGATCCAGATATAAATATTTTTATTTGGAATTAAAATAATTTGTTTTAAATTGTTCATATAAAAATTGAGAAATGGTTTATAAAAGTAAAATTGTCTGCTTCAAAAAAGCTTTTTATTTTTTGATTTGTCAATATTTTATAGAATCACAATAAATAAAATAAAAATTACTATTGTTTTTATTTTTTTCTCTATTCTGTATTCACATTCTTCTATAAGTAATTGCATTTCAATTTTTCTTATTAAGTTTAAAAGCTTACACTTGTAGCTTTTAAATTATCTTTGTTGTTTTACCATTTTATTTCCTCTTCAATTTATATGGAATTGAAGTTAATATTATTTTTTTACTCTAAAATTTGGTCAAGAAAAATAAATTCATTCTAAATGTGAGCTTTCAAATATACCTCAAAACAATGTAACTCAAAAAATTGAAGTAAAAAATAATTTTTTACTGAAGCAAGAAAAATATGGAATAAACCAACTTTATCGTTTGTCAAATTTTTTCTCTTTCAATAAATAATGATTATCAGTTATTGCTTTAATTTTTGAAAACTTTTATGTTTAAAATAATAAATATGAAAAATCCTTTAAAATCTGAAATGAAATTGCACATTACCAATTCCTTTATCACTTCAATGTTAGGCGGGTGATAATTTAATGAGTTGTATTAGCAGAGTAGTCATATTCCACTCTTCGTCAAGTTGTATCCTGAATACACAGGAAACGATATTTAATGACAGGGAATAGCGTCACCAGTAGATGGGTAAAGTTGATGCACGATGCCAAAGTCCCCCAACTGGTGGGGCAATTGACGAGGAAGTAATGGATGACTCCAGAGCAGGGTATATGTGCGTGGGTCTCGATTAAACTACGACTAGCTTTGCTGGTCAGTTGCGCGAACAGAATTTAACAGGGTTGCTCAGCTCAGTCTGAACTTGGTGCCAAACAAGCTTCTAAATTGTGAATTAATGTTAAGAGATCTAGTACACCTACTATATCATATCTCTTATAAACATGTTCAAAATTATCAGGTTTTTCACTATTTTTGCATTTTTAGATATTGGTGAGCAACTTGTCTTACACTTTCATACCTTCACATAATATAATATTTTTCACTGAATAAAGCCATTTTTTCTTCAAATTAAAGCTTATGCTACACAATGTGGAAAAGTATGGCTAACAGTGTCATCATTGTGGAGGCCAATAGCAGCAAGTGATAAAGTAATCGACGCCGAGCTCGAAGTTAATTGGGAACTTGATTGTCCACCAAATATAGAACCCCCTGATACTATCAAGGTGTTCACAGCCGATCCAGCTCACAGTAATAAATTTTATTTATCTCCTACTAATTCTTATAATATTATTAATCGTTTTGAAATTAAAAAACAAATTTCAGATAAGAGCTTGCTACCTCAATTGGTATTAACCCTCGTAGAATATCCAGAAGGTTATTACAGAACGAACCTTGCTGTGGGTAGACCTCCATTACCAGGTGGATGGGATGCTACTGGTGGAGCAACGTTACCCGGACCTCACTGCTTGAAACATTACGCTGCATTATATAAAGATAATGTAATTTTAACTAGTTCTTGCTTGCAAATTTGGCCCACATGGATGTACGACTTGAGGTAAGAATTTTAACAGGTGACTAGATTTATTATAATTACTCTTTATTTAATTATTAAATTAATTTAATCATTGTAGACGACAACTTGGACGATTGCCGATTGGAAGTTTAATGATTCCCGGCACTCATAATTCAGGATGTTACAAACATGGAGACCTTACCAGGAGAGATGCTTTCCAGAGATATTTACTAACTCAAGATCGTGACGTCTGGACACAATTGGTGCACGGAATCAGATACCTTGACATAAGAGTCGGTCATTATCCCCCTATTCCTCATAATGCTTCACATCAAAGTGATGAAGTCAATCATGCTGGTCCTTTTTGGGTCAATCACGATATGATACGTATTAATCCACTATCAGCTGTGATCAAAGACGTACGAAATTTTTTGAGTGCTGCTAGAGGCGAAGTTGTCATCATGGATTTTCATAGGTACGTAAAATTTATAATAAAATTGTATTTGATTTATAGTACAATGAAAGTAAAATTGTAAATTTCAACTTTTGTTTCATGACTTTCAAATTAAATAAAAATATTACAGTCTTTTTGAAAATAATTATTAAAAAAAAATAACTGCATTTGCGAAAAAAAAAATCTAAACTGAAATTTTATACTTTATTAAATGAATGTTTATAAAATTGTTTTTTTTATTACTTTTATTCTATTAAATTCCTTGTATAATGGCATTTGTAGAATCAATTTTTCAAAATCCATCTAAAGAAATGAAGAAAAGACAATATTAGCATATGAAGTAATAAAGAAATTTTTCTATTGGAGTTAATAATTTTCTATCAAATGAAATAAACTTTGTGTATAAACAACTGCTCATTAATTAAATCTATTAATAATCAGCTAATAAAAGTTTTAATGAAACACTAAATCAATAAAATAACTGCATTAAATTAATAATAAATGTAATACTTTCAAGTGTAGCTGAAAATTTTATTTCAGTATTGAATTTAATCTCTGGATGATAGATAACTGACTGTAAGCCATAAAACAAAGTTTTGTACGTTTGATGTCATTTAAAGTAAAAGCTTCAATTTGTTATCTTTTCACTAAATCTCATAATTTTTTCTCATAAAACTATTAAGTGAAAACTATTTGCTGCTGCTTTCATCTATAATTGTGCTCTAGAAAATAATTTATTAATCTCTCCATAAACTATAATAATTCAACAAGTAATACACTTCTTGCCGTAGCCATTTTCTCTACTTTTACTCCCCTTCATTAAGAACTCGCTGAACAAAACTAAAAAATAATCATGTTAATTATTATTTTGCTTAAAAAAACTAAAAGAAAAATCCTAACCGTTTTATCAATGTAAATAACAAAATAGCTGAAGAAAATGTTTATAAAATGTTCTAAAACGTGACTCTAGAAAAAAACAACAAAAAATTTTAAGTTACTGGATGCATTTTTTGATTGAAGTATTAATTACCAAAGTTAAAATGTTCCTTCTAACTTTAGACCTTTGTAACTCTATTTAAAATCTCAAAGAAGTACAAATTTTTTCGTAGACAAGGTATTTAAATAGACGGAGAGAATTTTTTCACTAAATGTAAGTGCAAAAAATGACAAGTCCACGTTTCGAAATTTGAAAGTAAAAATTCATTTTTGTACTCACATTTAGTGAAAAATTCTTTCCGTGTATATGATAATTGTTAAAGCTGATTATCAATTAAGCTTTCAGTCGAACAATCAATTTTTGTTATAACATTTCAATGTCATTTTAAGATGCTTTTATTATTAACAATTTAAATATATGAATCTTTAAATTTATTGCATTGAGTACTATTATATACAGTTGACTATTCAGTTTATATTTAAAAATAAGTAAAAATTCTATTCTATTTTAGACAATTACATACAAAAAGAATTATTAAAGAATCTTACCAATTACGACCTGTTTGCATTGGAATAAAATGAAAATAATAAAATCAATGAAACCTTCTAATTGTAAGAAATATTTTAACAGATTTCCCGTAGGATTTGATGGAAGACTAAGCCGCCACAGACGACTAGCTTCAATCCTTCGTCGAGAGTTTGGAGGATTAATATTAAAACCTAGTAGAGGTGTTGATGGTTTAGGACCAACGTTAAATGAAATATGGAATAGTGGAAGACGTTTAATTATTTGCTATGGAGATAAACACACAGTCAATGGTAAAAATTAAATACTTAGTTCTTCATCTTTTTTTAAAATAAATATTGCCAAATTTTTAATACTAGTATTCAAACCCTTCAGAGTATGAATGGTTGTGGCCTTCTTTAACGCAAGCTTGGGGTAATCAACAAACGCCACAGGGTTTGTTTGAATACCTGAATAGTGTTTTAATGGCTCCACAGAAGCCGAAGAATACGTTAAATCCTCTTTGGGCGATAATGGCTGAGCTGACACCACGAACTCTGGATGTAATATTTAATCCAAGTGGAGGCCTTCGGCAGATGGCTGATGCTGTCAATCGCAATCTTTCTCGTTTATTTCAGAATGAATGGTGGAAACAAACAAATATCGTTGCAACTGATTTCTTCCTTGGTAATAATCTCATCGAAGTATCTATTCAATCAAACATCAAAAAGAGCAACATTGCTCAGTGGAGACTATAAATATTTATGTATTTATTTATTTATTGATTTTTGTATAACTATATATTCGTTTGAGAAAAGTTCAATAGTTATCAAAAATAGAGTTCTGTTGGAGAATAAACATTTAGAATTTTTTTTGAACTTTTTATGCTTTTTTTTTTTATTAAATATTTGACTAAAAAGAAAAATATTCTTTATGTAAAAACATCTAATAAAAATGAAAAATAAAAGACAAGAGATTGATCGAGATTCAATAAATGAAATATCAATAGAAATTTTGTTTCCAGTTCTGTAATGCATTAAAAAATTTAAATACGTCTTCACAACAACGTTATAAAAAACTGCTATATTCGATAATAAGTACGGAAGAAATATAAATCACTGTTTATATTTTTTGCAATTTTTTGATATACATAAGGATTTGTTTATCGTTTAAAGAATTTTAATTAGTTTTTTTCAAGTATCATGGCCAATTTTTCAATAATAATTATTTACATGAACTCATAAAAACAATTTTGTTTTACAAAATCATAATCTTCATGTCCAATATTTGTTGTATTAAATTCATTTGAAAAAAAGCTTTCAACAATGGAAACTAATATTAAAACAATTTTTAACCCAATTCAGGTAAGTTATTTTAATTTATTTAAAACATCTGGAAAGCTTTTTTCTCAATTGAAGTTATATTTATTTTAAATTATTCAAGATTATTTCAAAATGTACTGTATTAATTGATCAATATTAACTCCTGTAATAAAAGTAAAAAAAAAACTATCACAATTGTGTAATTCTTTTTTGTAATTATACAACATGACGCATGTTTTCTTTTTTATATCATTAAGGCAAGTCATTGATAATGTTTATATAAACCGATATTATGAAATATCAAAGGTCAAAATAACCAGCTCTTAGTGAAGAATAGCTAGTTCAGTATCAATTTGAAGCTTGTATAAACCCGAGTGTATTGTAATCAACTGACACATCATTTTACAACAATGATGAATCTTGCTGACATATCTGCACAAAATGCAGCTAACATACGTATTTTTGCATGGTGGGGATCTGTTATGGTGTTAAAAATTCTAGCGTGTGTATTGATAATTGGTCGATGGAGGTGGGGTAAAGGGGTAAGCATTGTTTTTTATGGATCCACTAGTGTTGAGTAAGTGAATTTGTGAAGAAATAATCAAATGTCTCTTTTAATTCATCATTAATCAAAATAAACATTTGTAATATCTATATCATGTTTTTGTTCTAAAGTCTTTTTTAATTTTTTTTATAAGACATTTCATTTTAACGTTATTTTCGTGCTCATCATTTGTGAAAATTTTTTAATAAAATAGTATTTTCAACTTTAGTAAATATTGATTGATATCACTCTTTTATAAATTTTCAAACACATCAATAGACAATTAAGTTCAAAAGATGGACAAAATGTAGAGAATCATTAGAAACACAAAATCGATATCCATTAAAAGAGTTGTATATTTTTTCATTTAACCAGATTTTGTTTTATACGAGAATCAAAAACTTGATTGCATTTTAGTTAAGTTTTTTTTCCCATTCTAACAACTCATTCATCTTCGGAGTGGTGTCAATCTAATGGTCGAGTCAGTCTATTTCAATTTTTGTAAATTAAATTATTTTTCATTGTGATAATGTGAAATTATATTGTCACAAACTCATCTGCATATTTTAATTTATTAATTCATGCATTCCATAATGATGACAACATTTATTTGTCATATAGTTATAAATTTATTGATGTTAATAAATAATTTATGACTTGATGAATTCAAATATCTTTCGTTAACTATTAAAATTATTTAACTATCGTGAAGCCCTTTTCTCTGTTTATCTCTACCTAATTTTATTCCTGACCGCATGTACTATAATTTTCTATAGATTTTCATAACTCCTGAAGATGCACAGTTTGTTAAAATGGCCATCATCCCAAAGGCAAAAGTAGTTCACGACGATCCCGACGTTGAACGATCTCGACGAGCTCATTTAAATGACTTGGAAAATATATTACCTTGGGCAATTTCAACCGCATTATGGTTAACAACTTCACCCGACACAGCAACCGTTGCTTTACTTATCAAAGTATTCAGTATTGCTCGAATCATTCACACAATTGTATACGCAGTTATTGTTGTTCCACAGCCAGCAAGATTTTTAAGTTTCTTGATTGCATACTTAATTATTGTGTATCAATCTGCAGCTACTATATATTATTACTCATAGTAAGAAAACCTGAAAATTTATTGTAATAATTATAGTCAAGTGTTTTTATAAAATTTTGTACAAACATATTATCAATTTGAAATAAATTAATTATTCAATTTTTTCTCTTCTGCTTTACTTTAAGTTTAGTTTTCACTATTGATAATCGAACAAGGCCATAATAATCGTCGCATGAATAATTCAAGACTCATTCGAGTAAAACCGTGTGGTAATGTAAAAAAAGAAGTTCAGGCCTTACACTTCAAAATGATCAGATTCAGAAAATTTCCATTAATCCAAGGATTATCAGATTTATGCATTTTTCTACTTTAAAACAAGAAGACGGTTAAATAGAAAAAATGTAAGAGAATATGTGAAAAAAAGAAAAAAGAAAAGGTTTAAGATTAACTGATTTCAAAGAAAGATAAATGGTATCTTCTGGTCTAGCCAATAAGTTTGTTGTAGACGTGTAATAGAAACCTAACGAGTGATGCTAGTGATTCATTTATATGTAGTCAGTTTCAGTTGAGTAGGCCAAGTTAGCAAGCGTACGACCAACTTTAACAGCTAAACCATCATGTTTTTTGGTTTAAATAAACCTTACGATAAATTAGAATTAGTGTATGCATTGTGGACAAGCGTTTTGATTCTTGAAATGATGATATTGATTTGGTTCACCGGTCGTATTAGAAAAAAAACTCAAGTAAGTAACTTTTAATAAGAAATAATACTGGTTTTCTTGCATTGAATTTAATTCACTATTTAAATAATAAAGCAGACTATCTCCTACTTTCTTGAATTTAAACAATGAATTCTAACAAAAACTTTAATTAAACTTTTGATATTAACACTTTCAATTTTGTACTCAGTTTTCTTCTAAAAATCTAAAAAATTTATACTCTTGATTTGTCTAGGTTAATTATTGAGAAATGAATATTTTTAACTCTAAAAAACTCACTTCGTATTAGCATAAATTATTTTTTTTTTCTTAAAATTTCTTTATCTTGAGATCATCCATTCAATAATGTCAGGAAAAAATCTTTCTTAATGAGATGGCAGTTGTGGGCAATCCATCTAGTTTTTAAAACTTGATATTCTATTTCAAAATAATATTTTCAACTAAAATATTCTATATTGTTTATTCAATGTAAGTTATAAAGCATCCTTTTTTTTTTATTTTTATGCTGCATAATACGTAATATTTATCAATATGTTCTTTTTTTCTAGACAATACACAGTGAAGAAGATCATATGTGGATGGATGATAAAAATTTACCTCTTTATCCATGTGGAGGGGGTCATCCCGACGTTGATCGTATTCGTGTAGCTCACTATCACGATTTAAATATGGTAATGACATTTGCGTTAATAATTCCTCTTTGGTTACATACATCACCAAAGTATCAGACTGCAAGTATCTTGCTACGGCTGTTTCCAATCATGAAAATAATGCAGACGATAGCATTTACAATTGTAAAAGAATTAAATTTTATTTTTTTACTAATATCTGATGTTATATGTTATTCTATTTTATTATATATGACTGTTAATTCAATTTTATTTTATTGTATGTAATATATTTAATCCATTATTAATTTTATTTATAAATAATGTTGCTTTCATCTTAAGTAGAATATATGCTTCGTAATAAATTACAAATTTCATAAAGTACTTTTGTTATCTTTGTAATGATGTACTTTTATATTGTAAAAATATTTTATATTTTTTCATAAAAAATTACTCTTATCTTTGTTAAAAATAAATTAGTATTTATAAGTTACAGTTATTAATGTTTTTATATAATAATTTAAAAAAAAAATCGTTTTAATTCAAGTATATATATTTTGGTTTATGTTATTACATGACTTATTCTAATTTGCTAAAATTCAAATTCATAGCCAGTAAGTAATGAATGAACAAAAGGTTGTTAAGTAAAAAAATGTGGCTTATAATAGGACTTACTTATGTCGTTTATCCTTAAAATTATAAAAAAATCAAATAAAATTCACGAAATATTACAAAACCATCTCCAAGGAACGAACGAATGAATGATTCATAAAACAGTCTCGTTTTATTGATCTCCAAATGACGTAATTTTAATTATATCATTTTAAATTCTCGCGCCATGCAGACTAGCCGGCTTAAAGTGAACTAAAATCGCTACTATCGATTCTTTCCTCCCACTTCTGACCTCGTGTTGAGGCTAGGAAACCTTTCTGACAGTTGGATACGGTTTACTTTGGAGCGTTTCGCTCCTATCCGGGTTTTTCGAACTCGTTGTTAAGTGATAAAAGAAGAATAATTGCAAGTAAGATAATATTCTAACAATATCATGGGTGATTCTCTGGATGGGACCAGTGAGCCCACACCAGAGACACAAAATGTCGCGATCGTAGACTTCACATCATTCACAAACTATCTACGAAAGATCGTGTCGATTCTGGCTCCCGACGAAGATGGAGTATCACAGGACTTTATCTCTGCTCTGGAAGACAAAAGCCATCAAGAATATATTCGCAAATTCATGAGTGATTTTCAAGTTTGGGCTCTTTGTATCCAACGAGCTTCAACAAAAGGTATAATTAATGATTATTTTTGCTGTAATAAATTTATAAATGATTCGTGTAGGTGTCTATCATGATGAATTCTTGGCAAAACCAACGGTATATTGTTGCTAATGTATTGGTGCAAAACCATGCAGGAATACTCTGTTGAAAATCGATGACACTCTCTTTACCATTTACGTAGCATTATGACTCATATTTTTATTTTGACATACAATAATATTGTCATAACTAAGCATATAAAATACTTACATACCGACAATATCTACATACGGCACTGAAATAAAATTATATTTTTTAATTAAATGATATTTTTCTTGTTTATAGAGGAAGATGGAGGTGAAGGAGATGAAGATAAAGACAGTGCAATGTATCACATATCGAATGAAATATATTTTACAAATCCCAAAATGTCAACATTGGTATTGATAAAAAGAGGAGCTGTTATTGAAGCGGATAAGTCAATTTCATCACAAGTAAGAATTGTCAATTTCTCAGATGGTCCACCGTATGAGACATTGCATGCAATTACTAAAACCATGGCTCCATTTTTCAAAAGTTATGTTAAAGAAACCGGACGTATTGATCGAGATGGTGATAAAATGGCACCGTCTGTAGAGAAAAAAATAGCTGAATTAGAAATGGGTTTATTACATCTTCAACAGAACATTGATATACCTGAAATTTCTTTAGTTATACATCCAATTGTCCAACAAGTTGTTAAACAATGTTCTGAAGAAAATAGAAAACCTAAAGTTGCTGATTTTGGTGATAAAGTTGAAGACTCATCATTTTTGAATGCACTACAACATGGTGTAAATAGATGGATAAAAGAGATTCAAAAAGTTACTAAATTAAATCGTGATCCAGAATCTGGCACAGCTTTGCAAGAAATATCATTCTGGTTAAACCTGGAACGAGCTTTGATTCGCATTTTAGAGAAACGTGAAAGTGTTGAGGTCACATTGACTTTAGATATTTTAAAACATGGTAAACGTTTTCATGCAACAGTGAGTTTTGATACTGATACAGGATTAAAACAAGCCCTTGCTACAGTTAATGACTATAACCCTTTAATGAAAGACTTTCCGATAAATGATTTACTTTCAGCTACTGAACTTGAGCGAATTCGTGCTGCCGTTCAACAAATATTCTTCCATATGAGGAAAATACGACACACTAAATATCCAGTTCAACGAGTTTTGAGATTAGTTGAAGCCATTTCGCGTGATTTGAGTCAACAGTTACTGAAAGTTCTTGGTACACGTCGTCTCATGCACATTCCTTTTGATGAGTTTGAGAAAGTTATGACTCAATGTTTTGAAGTTTTCAATACTTGGGATGATGAATACGACAAACTTACTAGTTTATTACGTGATTTTGTGAAAAAGAAGAGGGATGAACACATGAAAATGGTTTGGAGAGTTTCATTGGCGCACAAAAAATTACAAACAAGAATGGAACAAATGCGAAAATTTAGACGACAACATGAACAACTTCGTACAGTTATTGTCCGTGTCCTTCGACCAACAGTTCGACAAAACAGTAATAATGCAGCAATTGAAAATCCTGACACTGACAATCTAAAAGTTGAATTTGCATTGGATGCAGCTGATGCTAACGCTATTGGTGAAATTAATTTGGCATATGAAAACGTTAAGGAAGTTGATTGCTTGGATATTACTAAAGAAGGTCTTGAGTTATGGGAAGCTGCTGTTCACCGATATGACGAACGAATCGAACGTGTAGAAGCGAGGATTACAGCACATCTTCGTGATCAACTTGGAACTGCTAAAAATGCCAATGAAATGTTTAGAATTTTTTCACGTTATAATGAACTCTTTTTCCGGTCTCACATTCGTGGTGCTATTAGGGAATACCAAACACAACTTATACAAAGAGTTAAGGATGATATTGAAGCTCTACATAAAAAGTTTAAAGTACAATATCCTCAGAGTAAATGTTGCAAAATGAGTATGGTCAGGGACATTCCACCAGTATCTGGTTCAATTATTTGGGTCAAACAAATTGACTATCAACTGACAATGTATTTGAAACGTGTAGAGGATGTCTTGGGTGTAGGATGGGAAAATCACATCGATGGTCAAAAACTTAAAGCAGATGGTGACAGCTTCCGACTAAAGCTTTCAACTCAAGAGATATTCGATGATTGGGCACGGAAAGTTCAACAAAAGAACATCGGTGTTACTGGCCGGATCTTCACTATTGAAAATGTTCGCTCTCGTTCTGGACGAGGGAATGTACTTAAACTAAAAGTTAACTTCTTGCCGGAAATTATTATGCTTTCAAAGGAAGTGAGAAACTTGAAGAATTTGGGATTCCGGGTTCCGCTAGCTATTGTGAATAAAGCTCACCAAGCCAACCAACTTTATCCATTCGCTATCAGCCTTATTGAAAGTATCAGGACTTATGAAAGAACTCTTGAGAAAGTGAGTATCAATATTTATTTTTATTATAGGATAGAATAGGATTATATATTGTTATTACTAACATTAGTTATAATTAAAATATAATATTTGGAGCCATTGATGATATCATCTATAGTAATTGCAGTGTTTTTAATATAATGGCGATTCTAGAAATCAATTGTCTAATCCCTTGAATCTCCATAATTTTTAGCTTACTTCTCGGAGTCCCCACTGTCCCGCATTAAAGGTAGCCATCATACGCTGCATCACCAACTATTTATAATATATATTATTATACTGGACAATAAAAACAAACTGTTTTTGTTGTGATTTGAAAGTATTTCAGTCTAAAAACGGATAAAACCTTATTTGTGTTGTGTCATTGGCTAATTGAAATCAATAACAAATATTTTATAGTAAATATTTTAAATTTCTTTTCAATATTTTACAGTCTTACTTGCCGAACTAATTTATCTTTTAATCGAAAATTTTTTAAATAATTAATATTCTAATTAAATTTGATTAATTTAACTATATTTCTTTCAAATTAAAAATATTCAAAGAACATTTTATAGTACAAATAATAATATTACTCTGCTATCAGTACTTAAATTAAATTAAAAATACAAAAATGCATCCAATCTGATTGATTTAATGAGATCACAGCAAAAAGAGTTGTTAGCCAATATTAGCTATCTTCTTTGTTATCTTCTAATGTAATAATTGTATGCCTGCTTAATATTTATCGTAGCAAAGAGACCCCAAAATATTTTTAAGCCTTTATGAGACAAACTTGAGTTAGAATTTTTTTATCATCGTCTATTTTGTTAAGCTTAATCGGCATAATCTTATTGTCCCTTTTTTAATCTTATGAGTTCAATAAAAAATAATTATATTACCTTGTTATAATTTTGCTTTGAGAAACGGCCAAAAATTTAATTTGCATTTATGTTGCAACATGTAAAAATAATGAATGTAATTTTATTGAATGCATAAAAAATCTTAAAAAGTGTCGTGGTAATTTATATTATTAAATGATAACGGCATGGAATAAAATATAAATTATTTGCACGGTTTTTAGATAGAGGACAAAGCCAGCATCATCCCTCTGGTAGCAGGATTACGGAAAGATGTACTGGCTCTATTTTCAGAAGTATGTAATAGAATGTATTAAATTTATCAACAGTTATTTTACAATTTTTAATCAATTATCTTTATTTAAGGGTATTGCTCTTGTCTGGGAAAGCTATAAACTGGATCCATATGTTCAACGCTTATCAGATATTGTTGTTCAGTTCCAAGAGAAGGTTGATGATCTCCTCGTAGTTGAAGAACAACTTGATGTTGATGTTAGATCATTAGAAACATGTCCGTACTCAGCAGCTACTTTTGCTGACATTTTAGCTAAAATACAAAAATCTGTTGATGAATTATCCTTGAAGAATTACTCCAACTTACACATTTGGGTAGCACGACTTGATGAAGAGGTTGAAAAGAATTTAGCAGCTCGTTTAGAAGCTGGAATAAAAGCTTGGACAGATGCCCTCATGGGACAAAAGAAAGAAGTAGATCTAAGTATGGATACAGATGCTCCAATTAAACCAACACATAAACCAGGTGGTGATCCCAAGATACAAAATCAAATTCACGAAGTTCGCATCACAAATCAAACTATGTATTTATACCCAAGTATCGAAGACGCAAGATTCCAGATAATGCAGCAACTGTTTGCTTGGCAAGCTATTGTAACATCACAAGTTCGTTTACAGAGTTCACGATATCAAGTTGGTCTTGATAAACCAGAGTCTGGAACATATCGGAATTTACTCACTAAACTACCAAATGGGAAACAACCGTTGGAAGCAGCATACGAAGCCATTGAATCAAAAATGAAAGACGTAGCCGAGTATGTTGATCAATGGTTACGATATCAAGCTCTATGGGATTTACAACCCGAGAATTTGTATGGTAAACTCGGTGAGGACATAAATCTCTGGATGAAATGTCTAAACGACATCAAAAAAACTCGCACGACTTTTGATACCTCGGACACACGACGAGAATTCGGTCCTGTTATAATTGACTTTGCTAAAGTTCAGAGTAAAGTCTCATTGAAATACGATTCTTGGCATAAAGAAACTCTTGGTAAATTCGGGGCTCTTCTTGGCAATGAAATGGCAAGTTTCCATGCTCAAGTTTCTAAGTCACGTAGCGATCTTGAACAACAATCGATCGAAGCAGCAAGCACTACTGATGCGGTTGGTTTCATTACATACGTGCAATCTCTAAAACGTAAGATGAAAGCATGGGAAAAACAGGTTGATGTTTATCGAGAAGGTCAACGAATTCTTGAGCGCCAACGTTTCCAATTTCCTTCTTCATGGCTTCATGTGGATAATATTGAAGGAGAATGGGGTGCATTTAATGAAATAATCAAACGAAAAGACTTAAGTATCCAGACTCAAGTGGCTTCGTTGCAAATGAAGATTGTCGCCGAAGATAAAGCAGTTGAGACGAGAACATCCGATTTTTTAAACGATTGGGAGCGTGGAAAACCAGTAGAAGGGCATTTAAGACCAGATGAAGCTCTTCAACAACTCCAACTATTTGAAAGTAAGTTTGCTAGACTGAAGGAAGAACGTGACAATGTTGCGAAAGCTAAAGAGGCTCTTGAATTACAAGAACCGGGTGGTTTATCGACAAGTGAAGATAGAATGCAAGTGGTCTTCGAAGAACTTCAAGATTTACGTGGTGTGTGGTCGGAATTGTCTAGAATATGGGCACAGATTGATGAGACACGAGAAAAACCATGGTTATCAGTACAACCTCGAAAACTACGTCAACAACTTGATACAATGATGGCTCAACTCAAAGAATTACCTGCTAGACTAAGACAATATTCTTCCTATGAATATGTCAAAAAAATGTTACATAATTATACCAAAGTTAACATGCTTATTTTTGAGTTGAAATCTGATGCCCTGAAAGAACGTCACTGGAAACAATTAACTAAACAGTTAAGAGTTAATTGGATTCTGAGCGAACTTACGCTTGGTCAAGTTTGGGATGTTAATCTTCAAAAGAATGAAAGTATAGTCAAAGATATTATCTTAATCGCCCAGGGAGAAATGGCTCTTGAAGAATTTTTAAAACAAGTACGAGAATCTTGGCAAACTTACGAACTAGATTTAATTAATTATCAAAGCAAATGTAAATTAATTCGTGGATGGGATGATTTATTTAATAAAGTTAAAGAGCATATCAATTCCGTAGCTGCTATGAAACTTTCACCGTACTATAAAGTATTTGAAGAAGAGGCTTTGACGTGGGAAGAAAAATTAAATAGAATAAATGCTTTATTCGATATTTGGATTGATGTTCAACGTCGTTGGGTTTATCTCGAAGGAATATTCTCTGGAAGTGCAGACATTAAAACCTTGCTACCTGTTGAAACGTCACGATTCCAAAGCATTAGTTCAGAGTTTCTTGGTCTTATGAAAAAAGTGTCTAAATCGCGAATGGTTATGGATGTATTAAATATTCCTGGTGTTCAAAAAGCTCTTGAAAGATTGGCAGATCTGTTAGGAAAAATTCAAAAAGCTCTTGGAGAATATTTAGAAAGAGAGAGAACTTCTTTCCCACGGTTTTACTTTGTGGGAGATGAAGATCTTCTTGAAATCATTGGTAATAGTAAAAATGTTGCAAGACTACAAAAACATTTTAAGAAAATGTTCGCAGGAGTTGCAGCAATAATTTTAAATGAAGACAATACAGTTATCACTGGTATTGCTTCGAGAGAAGGTGAAGAAGTACATTTCCAGACTCCAGTATCTACTATTGACTACCCAAAAATTAACGAATGGTTAACACTTGTAGAGAAAGAAATGCGAGTAACTCTAGCATCTAGTTTAGCAAAAGCTGTGTCGGATATAAAACAATTTAAAGATGGAAATATCAATGCTCCAGCATTTATGAAATGGTGTGATAATTATCAGGCGCAAATAATTGTTTTAGCAGCACAAATTTTATGGTCTGAAGATGTCGAAGCTGCTTTACATGAAGCACAAGCTGATCCAAGTAAAAATCCATTAGAAAGAGTATTAAATCAAGTAGAGGGCACTTTAAATATTCTAGCTGACTCTGTACTTCAAGAACAACCAGCTCTCAGAAGAAAAAAACTTGAGCATTTGATAAATGAATTTGTTCATAAAAGAACAGTTACAAGACGATTGATTGCAAATAAAGTATCTAATCCAAAAGCATTTGAGTGGTTGTGTGAAATGAGATTCTACTTTGATCCACGACAAACTGAAGTTTTACAGCAATTGACTATTCACATGGCTAATGCTAAATTCTTTTATGGATTTGAATACCTCGGTGTTCAAGACAGATTAGTACAGACACCACTTACTGATCGTTGTTACTTAACAATGACGCAAGCATTAGAAGCAAGACTTGGTGGATCACCTTTTGGACCTGCTGGTACTGGAAAGACTGAATCAGTTAAAGCACTTGGACATCAACTTGGAAGGTTTGTTCTTGTATTCAACTGCGATGAAACTTTTGACTTTCAAGCAATGGGTCGTATATTTGTTGGATTATGTCAAGTTGGTGCTTGGGGTTGTTTTGATGAATTCAATCGTCTCGAGGAAAGAATGCTTTCAGCAGTTTCTCAACAAGTTCAAACAATCCAAGAAGCACTGAAAAGCCAAATGGAAGGCAAAAAAGAAGGAACTTTGTGCGTTGAATTAGTTGGAAAGCAAGTCAAAGTTTCCACAGATATGGCCATCTTCATCACAATGAATCCCGGCTATGCGGGCCGATCCAATTTACCTGATAACTTGAAGAAATTATTTAGATCACTGGCTATGACTACTCCAGATAGACAATTAATTGCTGAAGTTATGTTGTTTAGCCAAGGCTTCAGATCTGCTGAGAAACTTGCATGCAAAATTGTCCCATTCTTCAAACTTTGTGATGAACAGCTATCTAATCAATCTCATTACGATTTTGGTCTACGTGCCCTAAAGTCAGTTCTAATATCTGCTGGTAATGTTAAACGAGATAGAATTCAAAGAATAAAAGAAGGAATGCAAAGCCGAGGAGAAGAGAATATTGATGAAGCTTCAATCGCTGAAAATTTACCAGAACAAGAAATTCTCATCCAATCAGTCTGTGAGACTATGGTTCCCAAGTTGGTTGCTGAAGACATTCCACTATTATTCAGTTTACTCAATGATGTATTCCCCAATGTAAATTACACACGAGCTGAAATGAAAGGTATAAATTAAATTTTTTCATTTAAATTTAAATATGCATCAACGTGGTCTTTTTTATTCAGGTTTGAAAGATCAGATCCGAAAAGTCTGTGCGGAAGAATATCTTGTATGTGGAGAAGGTGACGAACAGGGAGGAGCTTGGCAAGAAAAGGTAATTAAAAATTATAGCTGTCTACTTTGCTATGAAATAATATGAAAATTATGCGAATGATTTTTATAAATAATTTAGAAGTTGTTAGCATTTTTGTAATCATCTAAATTTGTGGGTTAAATATGCCAATCATTAACTGTAAATGCTTTTTAATTATATCTCACTCTTTATCTTATGCACACTCAAGGAATTGGTTGGTGAAACTTGGGTGGAGAAGGTGAGATTGAATCCAGTGCAAAAATTATGATGTATGAAAAGAGGAGAGAGGGACTATTTTATAAAGTTTTTATTTAAAAAAAGGAATTTAACACATCATCTGAAAAATTACTAACAATTGAAATTTTGAAATTAAATTTAGTTGAATCACTTATAGTAAACAATTTGACAAATACTATCAATTGAGCTTAAATGAAATAAATGAAAATTTTCTCGTGATTCTGTTAAAAGTGACATTTAAACAATAAATTAATTAAAAGTATAAATTTAATTGAAATTTTACAAGCGATTATTTTAATTCACAAAATATCAATATAATTACAAGTAAAAAAAGAAAATAATACATCGATTTACATTCTTATTATAATCCGAGTATCACAAAATACTCAAAATAAAGTTATTCAAAAACTTTTAAAAGCTTAAAGTTCAGAGAGATTATTTAAATTTAAAAAAACTTCAATTACTTTTAATTTTTCTTTGGTTTTTTATTACAATGCTTGATACAATAATACAATTTTGATGATTGATCTTTAAAAATTTTGTATTACTTTATTTTTAGTGTTCGCATCAAATTAATCACAGCACTTTTTTCAATAGAAAAGATTTTTTATTACACAGATAAATTATATTTCACTGACAGCGATTGAAAGTTTTAAGAGTTATTCGTTTTTGAATCAATTTATTTTTTATAACTACTTCCCTGGAACTGAAAATTTCTATCTTATATCATTGTAAAGGAGATAATTTAACAAAGAACCAACTTCTCGTGAAATCATTACTCATGCTAACATTTTAAAGTAAGCTTTTATTTCTTTGTAGCACACATCTTTAAGTTATTTTACAGCTCGTAATTCATAGAGTTATTATCTCTAAAATTAAATTTCAAACTCATTTATAGATTATAACCCAATAATAAAACTCTAGTCGATCAGATAACAAATTTGATTTATAATTTTTAACTTCCCAGTTTTATATTTTATAATCAGTCTTATTCTCCTCTACTATACGTCGAATTGTCTTTTTTATTTAGCTCGTATAAAATTTTAAAACAATAACCTTTTTTTTCTTTGCCCAGGTTTTACAACTCTATCAAATTTGCAACTTGAACCATGGATTAATGATGGTTGGTCCAAGTGGATCAGGGAAAACCACAGCCTGGAAAGTTCTCCTCAAGGCATTGGAAAGATTCGAAGGTATTGAAGGTGTTGCTCACGTTATTGATCCTAAAGCTATCAGCAAAGAAACTCTTTACGGAGTATTGGATCCTAATACTCGAGAATGGACTGATGGTCTTTTTACTCATATCCTTCGTAAGATTATTGACAACGTTCGTGGAGAAATTAATAAACGACAATGGATTATTTTTGATGGCGATGTTGATCCAGAGTGGGTAGAAAACCTTAATTCAGTTCTTGATGATAATAAACTTCTTACTTTACCTAATGGTGAACGTTTAAGTTTACCTCCAAATGTAAGAGTAATGTTTGAAGTTCAAGACTTGAAATATGCTACTCTCGCAACTGTATCTCGATGTGGAATGGTATGGTTCTCTGAAGATGTACTTTCTACAGAAATGATTTTCGAAAATTACTTACTACGTTTAAAGAACATTCCTCTAGAAGACGGTGATGAAGATAATTTGAGTAAGAAAACAGAAAAAGATGATTCAATGTCTCCAGCTCTTTCTGTTCAACGAGAAGTAGCTTGCATATTCCAAAGTTATTTTGCACCCGATGGTTTGGTTGTTAGATGTTTAGAATATGCGATGAAGCAAGAGCATATCATGGACTTTACGAGACTAAGAGCATTAAGCTCTCTGTTCTCTATGCTCAATCAAGCGGTTCGTAATGTACTGCAATATAATCACGCACACGTTGATTTTCCTTTGCCAAGTGAACAGTTGGAACGTTATATGCCTAAATGTCTAGTTTATGCTCTACTTTGGAGCTTTGCTGGAGATGCCAAATTAAAAGTAAGATCCGATTTAGGAGATTTCATCAGATCCATTACAACAGTGCCTTTACCTTCTCAAGGGAACATTCCCATCATCGATTTCGAAGTTAATATCAATGGAGAATGGATGCCATGGAGTAATAAAGTCCCCCAAATTGAAGTTGAAACTCATAAAGTTGCTAGTCCAGATATTGTCGTACCAACTCTTGATACTGTAAGACATGAGAGCCTTTTGTATACTTGGTTAGCCGAGCATAAACCTTTAGTGCTTTGTGGACCTCCAGGGTCAGGTAAAACCATGACACTTTTTTCTGCTTTGCGAGCTTTACCAGATATGGAAGTTGTTGGTCTCAACTTTTCTTCAGCTACAACTCCTGAACTGCTATTAAAAACTTTTGATCATTATTGTGAGTACCGTAAAACACCCAATGGTGTCGTTTTGTCCCCTGTACAATTGGGAAAATGGTTAGTACTTTTCTGTGATGAAATTAACCTTCCAGACATGGATAATTACGGAACACAAAGAGTAATTTCATTCTTAAGACAATTAGTTGAGCACCGAGGATTTTATCGTACTAGTGATCAAGCTTGGGTAACACTTGAGCGAATACAATTTGTCGGAGCTTGTAATCCACCCACCGATCCCGGTAGGAAGCCACTTAGTCATCGATTCTTAAGACATGTGCCAGTAATATATGTTGACTACCCAGGAGAGACATCACTCAAACAAATTTACGGAACATTCACCCGTGCTATGTTGCGATTGACTCCATCATTACGTGGTTACGCTGAGCCGTTGACTAATGCCATGGTTGAATTCTACTTAGCTTCTCAAGAAAGATTCACCCAAGATATGCAGCCGCATTATGTTTATTCACCTCGTGAGATGACGCGATGGGTACGAGGAATCTGTGAGGCCATTCGACCTCTTGATAGTCTTTCAGTTGAAGGTCTAGTGCGCTTATGGGCTCACGAAGCTCTTCGTCTTTTCCAAGATCGTCTAGTAGAAGATTCAGAACGTGCATGGACCAACAAAAATATTGACATTGTAGCCATGAAACACTTCATGGGAGTGGATAAAGAAAAAGCACTTGAGAGACCCATTTTATACAGTAACTGGCTTTCTAAGGATTATGTTCCAGTCAATAGACAAGAACTTAGAGATTATGTACGTGCTAGACTTAAAGTATTTTATGAAGAAGAACTGGATGTTCCTCTTGTGCTTTTTGATGAAGTTCTCGAACACGTACTACGAATTGATAGAATTTTCCGACAACCACAAGGACATTTGTTACTTATTGGTGTGTCTGGTGCAGGAAAAACTACCTTGTCACGATTTGTCGCTTGGATGAATGGTTTATCAATATTCCAAATCAAAGTTCACAATAAATACACTGGTGAAGATTTTGATGAAGATCTGAGACAAGTTTTGAGAAGATCTGGATGTAAAGATGAAAAAATAGCATTCATTTTAGATGAATCAAACGTACTTGAATCTGGATTTTTAGAAAGGATGAATACTCTCTTGGCTAATGGTGAAGTACCTGGATTATTTGAAGGAGATGAATATACAACACTCATGACTCAATGTAAAGAAGGAGCTCAAAGGGAAGGATTGATGCTTGATTCTAATGAAGAGCTATACAAGTGGTTTACAGGACAGGTTATGAAGAATTTGCATGTTGTCTTCACAATGAACCCAAGTACTGATGGACTCAAGGATCGCGCTGCTACATCTCCTGCCCTCTTCAATCGTTGTGTATTGAATTGGTTTGGTGATTGGTCAGATAATGCATTATTCCAAGTTGGCAAAGAATTCACTAGTCGAGTGGATCTTGAAAAACCATCTTGGAAAGCTCCAGATTTTTTCCCATCTGCATGCTCATTGATTCCCAACCCTCCAATGCATAGAGATGCTGTTATAAATGCTTGTGTCTATGTCCATCAAACTCTACATAAAGCAAATACCAGACTTGTTAAGAGAGGCAGCAGGACGATGGCTATTACACCTCGTCATTATCTAGACTTTATTAACCATTTTGTTAAATTGTATCAAGAGAAGCAAAGTGATCTAGAAGAACAACAATTGCATTTAAATGTTGGTCTTGCTAAGATTGCTGAGACTGTTGAACAAGTTGAAGAAATGCAAAAAAGTTTAGCTGTTAAATCACAGGTACTACTGGAGATTTTAAAATTTAATTATGAATTAATATTGAAGAAAAATGATTATTTATTTTGTTGAAATGATTTTTTGTAGGAATTACAAGCTAAAAATGAAGCTGCTAATGCTAAATTAAGGCAAATGGTTAAAGATCAACAAGAAGCTGAGAAGAAGAAAGTTCAAAGTCAGGAAATCCAACAACAATTAGCTATACAAACAGTGGCGATTAACCAGAAGAGGGAAGATGTCATGGCTGATCTCGCACAAGTAGAACCAGCTGTAATTGACGCACAAAATGGTTTGTATTTCATGTTTATCCTATCTATTAAAACTCATGACTCACTGTCAATTAAAGAGATACAATTACAAAAACCGTTCATGTAAACATAATTAAATAATTATAATATTTTTTTTTATAAAATTACGGAGATTACAATTTACTAATGATAATAACGAACAAAATTTTTTAAATTACCGTAACAAATACCAAAAAACAATAATTAAAGAATACGAAATTAAATCGGCCAATCAGAAAACCGTAACCATTTTACCATAACCCGCTGATTGGTCAATTTTATTTTTAAATTTTCCCAATGAATAAAAATAAAAATTAAATAATTTTTTACGTTATCGACAGTGCGCTCGAAAAGCGTGCAGTGTATCTCTAGTGATGTTTTATAGTAGCAATAGATGTAGTTTGTCCATACGCTTCATTTTTCAGTTTTAAACATCAAAAATTTTCTCAATTAATTATTATTTATTTCGAGGATTATAAATACACTTATATTCCCGAATTTTATTGTTTAATGAAAAATCTGTTTAATACATAAAAAGTTATGACTGATAACCCTATTGTAAGTATAGCTGTGAAAGGAATAAAACGTCAACATCTCGTGGAAATTCGTTCGATGGCAAATCCACCTGCAATAGTTAAACTGGCATTAGAGTCAATATGTTTCCTACTTGGCGTGAGTACAACAGACTGGAAGCAAATTCGCGCTATTACAATGAAGGACAACTTTATACCTACCATCGTTAATTTCAATACGTCGGATATAACGTAAGAGAAAGCTGTCACCAAATACTGATGGTAGCTAGTAGTACTGATGATGAATGTTCAACGCCTCGGCTGGGATTCTAATCAACAATATTTATTAATAATACTTAGCTCAATTTCATGTTTTCATTACTACTTTGGCAGTTTATCTATTTATTGTATGGACATAAATCTTAATCATTTGTTATAATCATTACTTTTACCACCAAAATCTAACTTTATGTACAAAAAATATAAATTTACAACACCTGCAGCTAATGACAACTTAATTACTGTCAGTGTTACATCAACTAATTAATTACTTATTTATTGTTTACTCACATGCATTTATTTCCTTCTGTCGTATAGCGGTGAAATCAATAAGAAAACAACATTTGGTCGAAGTTCGTTCCATGGCAAATCCTCCGGCAATTGTCAAGGTTGCATTGGAATCAATCTGCCTATTACTTGGTGAAAATGCTAGTGATTGGAAATCAATCCGTGCTGTCATCATGAGAGACAACTTTATCAATACTATTGTCTCTAATTTCAGTACTGAGGATATAACGTAAGCATGCTATTATCGTTAATATTAATGACCTCTGCAAGCTCTCATGAGATTTAGAGACGGAACAGCCGATATAAGTGATGAGCATTAGATCAATTTTACTTGGAATGCGAGCACTTAATTACTGATTAACAGTTTGTGTCTGCTGATCGTAACACTCGATTAATCTTCATTGTTGCTAATTATATGTTACATTCTTTGTACTAATTATTTATGCATGATTGAAATTATCATTAATCATTCATTTATTTGATATCAATTACAATTTTTTTTGTTAATAAGAAATAATGTTATGATTATTAACAATGATGTTTTTAACTTAGGGATGAAGTTCGTGAAAAAATGAAGAGTAGATATCTTAGCAATCCTGATTATAATTTTGAAAAAGTTAATCGTGCTAGTATGGCGTGTGGACCTATGGTTAAATGGGCTACTGCACAGGTATATTATTTATTTAAATATTTGATCAAAAACATTTCTTTAATTATTTTAACGATAAGTAAATACTGTTGCTAGTGAGCTCTAATTATAAATTAATAAAATTTTTCTATTATGTAGATTGAATATGCAGATATGTTAAAACGAGTGGAACCACTTCGTGAAGAATTATACTCTCTCGAACGACAAGCTGAAACAAACAAATTAAAGGGTGAAGAAATTAAAAATTTAATTGCTCAATTAGAGCTCAGCATAGCATCATATAAAGAAGAATATGCACAGCTTATTTCTCAAGCTCAAGCAATCAAGACTGATTTGGAAAATGTGCAAGGTAAAGTGGATCGATCGATTGCACTAATCAAGTCTCTAGTTATTGAAAGAGAACGATGGGAAGCCACAAGTGATACATTCCGTAGTCAAATGTCAACTATTATTGGTGATGTTCTTTTATCATCAGCTTTCTTAGCTTACGCTGGTTATTTCGATCAACATTATCGACAAAATTTGTTTTCAACTTGGTGCCAACATCTTCAACACGCAAACATCCAATTCCGTCCGGATATAGCAAGAACAGAATATTTATCTAATCCTGATGAAAGATTACGCTGGCAGGCAAATGCTCTACCAACGGATGATCTCTGTACGGAAAATGCTATTATGTTGAAACGCTTCAATAGATACCCATTGATCATTGATCCGTCAGGTCAAGCTACAGAATTTATTATGAATGAATTTAAAGACCGTAAAATCACCAAGACTAGTTTCCTGGATGACTCCTTTAGGAAAAATCTCGAGAGTGCTCTTCGCTTTGGTAATCCTCTTCTAGTTCAAGACGTGGAAAATTATGATCCAGTCTTGAATCCGGTGTTGAACAGAGAGTTAAGACGAACGGGTGGAAGAGTTTTGATTACTTTAGGAGATCAGGATATTGACCTTTCTCCATCATTCGTTATTTTCCTCTCGACTAGAGATCCTACTGTGGAATTTCCTCCTGATATATGTTCTCGCGTAACTTTCGTCAACTTTACGGTTACTCGAAGCTCTCTTCAAAGCCAATGTCTTAATCAAGTTCTTAAAGCAGAACGTCCAGACATAGATGAAAAGAGGTCTGATTTATTGAAATTACAAGGAGAATTCCATCTTCGTTTAAGACAGTTAGAGAAATCACTTCTTCAAGCTCTCAACGACGCTAAAGGAAAGATTCTTGATGATGATTCAGTTATAACAACTTTGGAGACTCTAAAACAAGAAGCTGCTGATATCAGCAAGAAAGTTGAAGAAACTGATAAGGTAATTGCAGAAATTGAAACTGTTTCACATCAGTACTTACCACTGTCTCAAGCATGTTCGAATATATACTTTACTATGGATAGTCTTAATCAAATTCATTTTCTCTATCAATACTCTTTAAAAATGTTTTTGGACATTTTCACATCAGTTCTTTCACAGAATCCTAAATTGAGCGGAGTTTCTGATTATACTCAACGACTGTCGTTGATCACGAGTGATTTGTTTTCGGTATGTTATGAAAGAGTAGCTCGAGGAATGTTACATGCTGATAGAATGACGTTTGCTCTGCTATTATGCCGTATTCATCTAAAAGGAATCGTTAATGAATCAACTTATGATCCAGAATTTACATTCTTTCTACGTGGAAAAGAAGGCGTGCTAAATGTCCGTGGAACAATGATTTCAAGTTTGAGTTCTGAACAACAAGAAGCCATGATGCGTTTGAGTATTCGACTTCCTGCATTTAAAAAGTTGGCTCAGAATATCCAAGAAAGTCCAGAATTTGTTGCATGGCTACAATCATCTACTCCAGAGACTGCAGTACCAAAGTTATGGGAAGAGGAAAAACCTTTGTCACCGATTGGCACGGCAGTTCATCAACTGCTCTTGATCCAAGCATTCAGACCCGATCGAGTAATTGCTGCAGCAGCTTTGTTTATTACTTCGGCTTTGGGAGATAAATTTATGGCAGCCGCTGAAGCTGAAATCGATTTTGCTGCTGTCGTTGAAAATCAATTAAAAGCAGCTGTACCAGCACTTCTTTGTTCTGTACCAGGTTTTGACGCATCGGGTCGAGTGGATGATCTAGCGGCTGAACTAGGAAAACAAATCGTCAGCATTGCGATTGGATCTGCGGAAGGTTTTAATCAAGCTGATAGAGCTATTAATTTAGCGGTGAAAGCAGGAAAATGGGTAATGTTAAAGAATGTTCATCTCGCACCGCAATGGCTTGTTCAACTAGAAAAAAAACTTCATAGTCTCCAACCACATGCTGGTTTTCGGTTGTTCTTAACTATGGAAATAAATCCAAAAGTACCAGTAAATCTCTTAAGAGCTGGTAGGATATTTGTCTTTGAACCACCACCAGGAATAAAAGCTAATCTCTTAAGAACATTCAGTACCGTGCCGGCATCTAGAATGATGAAAGCACCTAATGAACGTGCAAGATTATACTTCTTGCTGGCTTGGTTCCATGCTATAGTTCAAGAAAGATTACGATATTCCCCTCTCGGATGGGCTAAATACTATGAATTTAATGAAAGTGATCTTCGTGTTGCTTGTGATACTTTAGACACGTGGATTGATGCAACAGCTATGGGACGAACAAATCTACCACCTGAAAAAGTTCCATGGGATGCACTTGTAACTCTTCTGTCTCAATGTATTTATGGAGGTAAAATTGACAATGACTTTGATCAACGACTCTTGGCGTCATTCTTGAGGAAATTATTCACTCCAAGATCCTTTGAAGGAGACTTCGCTTTAGTAGCTAATGTAGATGGTGGTGGCCAAGGAAACCAGAGACACATTACAATGCCAGACGGCACTAGAAGAGATCATTTCCTTAAATGGATTGAATCCTTATCTGACAGACAAACTCCATCATGGCTGGGACTTCCTAACAATGCTGAAAAAGTACTTCTTACTACTCGTGGGACAGACTTGGTATCAAAACTATTAAAGATGCAACAGCTAGAAGACGAGGACGAATTAGCATATTCAACGGATGAATCTTTAGATACACCGAGAGAGGCTGAAGCTGATGGTAGACCATCTTGGATGAAAGTACTTCACAATTCTGCATCAACATGGTTGCAATTGTTGCCAAAGAATCTTCAAACTCTCAAGAGAACCGTGGAAAACATTAAAGATCCATTATATCGATACTTTGAACGTGAAGTTAACAGTGGAGCTAAGCTTCTTCAAGATGTAATTCATGACCTCGAGGATGTTGTGCTTATTTGCTTAGGAGAAAAGAAACAAACGAATTATCATAGAACTATGCTTTCAGAATTGGTGAAAGGAATTTTACCAGGAGGATGGAGGAGATATACGGTACCAAGAGGATGTACTGTGATTCAGTGGATAACTGATTTTAGTCATAGAGTATCCCAATTACAGGAAGTTTCCCGTCTTGTTTCTCAAGGTGGTGCCAAAGAGATCAAAAGTTTTCCGGTATGGTTAGGTGGTCTTCTAAATCCTGAAGCTTACATTACAGCAACCCGGCAATGTATTGCACAAGCAAACAGTTGGTCTCTCGAGGAATTGCAGTTGGATGTAACGATTGGTGATGGTGATAACATCGCTACTGACGACTGTTCATTTGCGGTAACTGGTTTAAAACTTCAAGGCGCACTTTGCAAAGATAACCAGCTTTATCTTACGTCTACTATCATGACGGATCTACCTGTAACAATGCTCAGATGGCATCGTGCATCTAGTGAAGAAGTGAGGAAAGGTAAACTTTCATTGCCAGTTTACCTTAATAGTACTAGAACAGAACTCCTCTTTACAGTAGAATTAAACATAGCGTCGAACCAAGAACCTCATAGCTTTTATGAACGAGGAGTCGCTGTACTCACTTCAACAGCGTTGAATTAATCAACCCGGATGTTTATCAATCTACTTTACTCTATATATATATATAACAGATTAATTTGTTTATTTTTTCAAGATGATTTAAAGAAAATTTTTAAAAAATTTACTATGAATATTTAATAATTTCTAAAACGCCTGTTTAAGTTTTTATAATGATTCAATCTTCGTCCTTATCTTTACATTGCATAATGTTGAGGCCATGAAAAATATTTTTAGGTAATTAAATAAATGATAGTACTAATATTAAATAATTTCGATTTTTGTACGCTTCAAATTCAGTGGCCTTTTTTAATATGATTAATTAATCATTTTATCAGTATGGTTATTAATAGTTTTGAATCAATTAGAAATAAAAAAAAAGTATAAAAAAGTATACAGATATTATTATAAATATAAATAATATGGATATATATTTATTAAATCATTCATCTGATAAATATGTATTGATGCAAGATTGTGAGTTAGCAATTTTTTATAAGGAATGTAAAACATGATATTGAATAAATATTGCGATGGCTTACAAAGTAAACAAGTATTTGATGTTTATTAAATTTGTTCGTCCTTCTTCACAAGAATAGATTATTTGAATCATGACTTAAATAGACTTTATAGAATGCATTAAAAGATTATTGATATTCTGAAGTTTCTTATCAAATAAGTAGTAATTAATTGTTTTATTTTTATAAAAAAAAATAGGGAATTCACACAGAGTAAGTTTTCCAGGAATGCTTTTCAATATGAAGAGAATTCAATGTACATCTAAATGTTTTTATTTATTTATTTTAAATTAAAATTAAAAATTCCAATTTAACTTATATGAAATTATAAAATTTTTCTTTATTCGCACATTAAGTTGTTTCATATTTAAGTTAAAATTAAGACATTTTAAAATATAATAAAACTGTGCAAACGTTTTTTTTGGACGGATAGAATGATTTTTACAATCAGATCTCATAACCACTCAAACTGATTATATACTTAATGAGTGAAAATACTTTTTTGATTTCATGAAAATTTTACATTTATTTACAATGGGTCTTACTTTTAACAAATAGAGCATAAAATTATTGTGTTTATATTACATAGAATTATTAAAAAATGCTTTTGAACACATTTACATTACCGTTATATAAATACAACGCATTACTAAAAGTATTACTTTACTATTATTTTAAATTCTTACATATTTATTAAATATAGTTCAAAGTAAAATTGCCTTTGTGCTTCACTGTTATAGAATAAACAATCGATCGGAGAGTGTACTTAACATAAACCAAAGTTATGTTTAATTTTCAAATATTAACAAAATAAAGTGAATTATGCATTTACTCCAACCTTTTCCGAGAAATTTTTTAAAAAACAAATTAAATTAAAAAAAAAATTAATTGTTGCGAGTCTTATATCACAGACACGGAGTTGTCCATTTCAACAGTCTTTTTATCTTCGTCATCATTATCGTCATTATCCTGCTCGGGGACTAGAGGTACATTTTTAGCAAAAACTAATGAGTCTTCACTGATAGGTGCAGCGGCGCTAACAAGATTTTCAATGGAAGCTGCTGTTGGAGGTAAATTATGTAATGAATTCCTTCGAAGGTTTTGTTGTGTTCTTGCAGTTCCTCTTCGTATACTACTTCTAAGTAAATTAGCGACATCAGCAGCTGTTAAATTAGATGACCCACTATTTTGTGACCTTCGATTTCGATCAATTGTAGAATGTGTTCTTGCTACAGGACATCTATCTAAAGTATTTATTCGTGTCATTCTGTCTAAAGTATTTGGCCTCAGTCTTTCATTCATACTAATGCCAACGTCCGTCACATCCGGTCTTGGTTCAATCGTATGTACCGTTATGTCTCTTGAAAGAATAGACTGATTCATTTCTACTAAAACTGCTGCATAATCAGGCGGAGGAGGTTGAAGAGCTGGTCTCGTACGTGGCACACTACTTTCACCTAAAACTGATGCTATCCTTCTTACACTCCTACGAAAGCTTTGTCTTAACATCTTGGCAATTCGTGCTCCTGTTGCTGTCGTATAGCTCGGTGGAGGCGTATACTTAGGAGGAGGGTCTTCAAAGGGAACATCTGACGTGGTTGGTAATATACCATTGCTGTGGACATTTGTGCTTGTATTATTTCTTAACTGTGCTTGAGTCCGCTGTGGATTTTCTGGCTCCAAATTGGGTCGATAGAGAAGTTGAATCCTCTGAAAGAGTAAATAATTCCTTATGATAAATTAATTATTTGCAATTAGCACTATTCATCAACATTAAATACAGTGCTGAATATTATGTTTATTGCAGAAATTAAATGCAATCTCGAGTAAAGTTTGACTTACATTTGCGTTGCATTGATCGCAACGATTATAATTAACCTCCGGTTGTTCAGTCTAATGTACGCATGGTATAAATCAATTCATTATATTATCATTTACGATGAATAACCAAGATAAGAAAGTAAAAAACAAGTTTTACTTACATCAAATATATCAGGTGGACCGTTATTTAGATACCGACAGGTTTGGATAATTGCGACTGCTGGAATGATCAAGATAGGAATAAGTTGAATCGATGCTCCTAATTGTTTTGCCCATATTGCCCAATAATCTCTGTTCGTTCTCCGATAGTTATAAAGCTCACGAAAACCACTAGTCCGAAAGAGTGTGATACTTAATACCTGAAGTATAGAATAACAGTATAGAATGAATTACCAAATATCTATTGACAAACTATTAAAAATTATTTCCATAAATTTACTTCAGAATTACCATTAATGTAATTGGTAGAATCACGTTCCAAGTGAAAGACAACAAAGGTCCAGCCCAGTGCCTAAGACATCTGCCTGTCGGTGGAAATAACTCGGCCACAACAGCTTCGCCTGTGTGAGGTCGACCTCTCACTGCAAATACTGCACCAACTTGTACCAGATATAATACTATTATCCACCAAGCTCCTCCAACTGTGTAATCCAAGTAGTAAACCACATAAATACCCAACTAGAAAATCAAAAATAATAAAAAGATTAATAATTATTATTAATTTTATTAATGTTATTAAGCAAAAAGCTTTTTATTTTTAATAAATGCCTTTATTCAATGTAAACAAGTTAATAGTTGGCGGAATAAATAATAACGTAATGATATATTAATCTAAAAATAAACTGAAATTAACAGTTACAAGTAACAGTAGAAATTAGAGAGGCTAAGAAATAAATATTACATTGAATAAAATATTAATTAGAATTTTCAACTATTACTTTAAAAACGATTTATTTATGTAAAGACAATTATTGATTTGAATCATGTAGTAAATTCACATAAATGTTTTTATCAATCTAGAATCCCACATTTAACGAGAGACAAAAGTTTTAATTAGTTGAGTTGTATAAAATATTAATGAACACTCTGATAATATAATAATAGCAAGTAGGAAATAAAGTCAGATAATAGAGAAAATGTAGCTGGGCTATTGTTCCATATTAGCAAGAGCATGTTCCTCTGGCAATAATATGAAAAAACAATGAAGAAAAAAAAGCATCTACAAATGGATATAATAGGAAATAGCCAGATCGTGAGGATATATTTGATTATTATAACATCTTCAGTAGTTATTACTCTTCACACGAAGTATATAATATACAGTACTTCAAAATTATTACAATTAATTATGGTTATAAGATCGTTTAAATAATAATAACTGGTACTCATTCTTTCTTATCATAAATTGAAAATGATTTTGTTTTTATTAAACAAATTTACCATTATTTTTTAGAAATTTCTAATAAAATTTTACAAAAAAAATAGAGGTTGAAATCACGTTTATTAAATTAGACTTTTACAATTATTATGAAACTAAAAAATTACCAGAAAACAATTGTAAAAAATATTTAATACATTTACAATCGAATGAATATTTATGTTTATTTATTTGCTAGTTTATTGCGTAAGAAATTAAGGCACCTCAAGCAGAAAAATATAGATATAGAAAATAAATAGATAATATAAGAAAATACTTGCAGAAAAAGATTCGCGAAATGGTCTATAGAATGAAATGAGATAAGGATGAATGGTTGAAGAATAAGAAATACATACTTTTATATATCAATATTTTTCAATTCGAGGCGCCTTAAAGTAATATACAATTGGCTAGATGCGTTAAAAATTTAAAATAATTTCAAGACAATCATGCTATTTTTAATAAAATACAATTTTTTATAAATTTATAAATTTTTGTTACAAAAAATTTAGGTCATCATTGAGTGATGATGTAGTAGACACATAAATATGAATCATTTTTTCAAACATAAATATTTGTATCTGCCATCCTGAGTTCTAATGAAATTGTACAAAAAAGATTTTAGAGTGCACAATCAAAAACAAATTTGTTCTTATTTTACAACCAATTTTAATATCAACAATTTAATTGAATTTCAATTTGATTGATAATTTAATAAAAAAAAGTATCTAATAAAGCAACTAGATTTATTATTACACTTTTACTGTGTTGTTAATGATGACGTTGATATACTGTCTCGCATCTCAGTAATCTGAATGTCTAGAAAAAGAACATTGTTTCGGGTGAATCCATCGTACCTAATTAAAGTTGTATGCGGAATGAACATATCTATAGCGGAATCTTTTTCTGAATCACTACTACTGTCATCCCTCATTCTAGCTTTGGTTTTAACTATTTTTCGAATATTATTAGCAGGATTATCTTGATCCCTCAGTGTTACTGTTGCCCGCAAAACACAAGGCCAGTCTAACAAAGGATCCCAAGGTCCTTCCACTACTTTCAGACATCCTATAATATTTCTGTCTCTCCACCTGTCTCGTCCATTCAAATATAACTCCATTTTTAATGCGTAACCATACTCTTTGTTAAAAAATACTGGGCTATAAAGTACGAAGTCTTTCTCCTTGGCAACTGTCATTTTCTCCTTGTATCGATTTATTCTCCATAAGAGTCTTCCGTTAGTAACTCCACTTAAATTGGTGAAATCACATTGGCATTCACAAGTACTTGATGGACTTTCAACATTTTTAGATAACAATTCTTCTAAAGTTGATATAGCATTATGTGTTTGTGATTTCAATTTTTTTACTGTTCTCTCTTGCTTCTCAATTACTTCTGAATGTAACTTCAATTCTTCTAACAGCATATCTGTTTTAATAACTAAATTATCATGCTTCTGTTCTAACTCTTTAGCATTTTTACATCTCATTTCCAACTCGAGTTTTAAATCATTCATTCTTCGTTTTTGATCATCCCAAGCATCACTAATTAATGCACTTTCTTTAGCAACAAATTTCTTCAACTCTTCTATCTCATTCTCAAAAACTTCCGAAACCTTGACTTGTTTATTCCTCTCTTCAATCACAATACCTTGTAAAACATCTAATCTGTAAGCAACTGCATCAAAACTAGCACGAGTTTTCCCATCAACATCATTTACAGCTTGATCAAGGTTCTGCAGTCTTCCATCAAATTCTAGCGATCTTTGCTGAAAATTATTTGATTCACTCAAAATACTTAATTTCATTGATTGAGTAGTTTCTTCAATTGTCTCAAGACGTTTCATCATCATAATAGAATTATCAATAAGTTTCCTTCGTTCAACTTCACTTTCTTTCACAGCCGTTCTCAGTAAATTAAGTACTGAGAAAACATTATCACGCCATTTTATTTCTTTATCCTCGCAATCCATATGCAAAGTACGTTGTGGTATTGTGTTACTTCTTTCAAAATTATAACGAGAAATACATCGTTTTCTGTGGGATTTTAAATTTTTTCTGGGCACATAAACTCCACATTTTCCTGGACATTGCTCTAAAATTGAACCACAAAGCTGCACATGATCATGCCAGAATCTTTCATCAAAAGAATCATTGCAAAAATAGCAGAGCACTGAAGTATGTAAGTTAGTATTTCGACAGTTATCCATTGTTGTAGCAACGTGATATATTAAAAATCTAGTTGCCGTTTTTTAATGTACCAGATACACTTATTGATTTGTCTACAACGATACAACTAGTATGTAGACCACGCTATATTCTCAGTGACTCTTCAATACGCAACTAAATGCTATATTTTACCATACATCTAAGGCAGGTCTTCACGATAAGGCTTTTATAATCTGGTTAAACATTAGTGCAATAGGTATAAAAAGATAAGAGAATTTAACAGATACGAATAAGTTAGCAGGTTTCATCACTACCATTATCAAAAAGTGAGTCATTTGAATTATTAGTTGTTATTTTGTTTGATGGTGCGGCCTTCGTTCTTACTTTAACGAAAGAAATCGTTGATCTTAACTTAAATAAGTGTGTTTTTGTAAATTATTAATTGTAGATTAAAAATTTTTTAAGAATAAGATAACTAATTTTGGTTCAAAAGATATTTTTGTATTTAATTTTAAGTGACACAGGCATCAATTGATAATTAGGTCAACGCAACACCATAAAATTTAATTTAAAATTATTTTTAAATTTGTTCAAAACACGATTTCAATTAATTAAAGCTTTTTTTAAATAGGAATAAATTCTATTAGTATTTTAAAACTTTTATGTTAGAAAAAAACGTAAATATATTAAATGAAAATCCAATAAAAATATTTACCTCTGTGGCCATTGGCAATCCAAGAATATAAGCACATGCACAGCTGAAAAATGTAATCGTCGTTTCCCATAGTTTCATCATTTTTGCGTTGATTGCCATAATCCCAGTGATTACACAGTGCCATATAGCCAGCTGCAGACAAACAAATGCTTTTAATCGCTATTTGACGATAAGAAGAATCAGTTTCTATATTATTCAATGTTCAAACTTTAAGTGGGAGGTTCCACACTGTAGTTATATAGATAGAGTTTATTCAACAGCATTACCTGTTGCGCGATGCCGAAAAGAATTAAGATGAAGTAAAATAAAACTGCCCAAAAAGGAGAAACGTGTTCAGCACCAAGAAGAGCTAGTGTTGCAGGCACGAGTTCTGTGGAAAGTCTAAGGGCCTGATAACCTGACTCTATACTGGGATCTGCTCCAGGTTTGATCGCTCTTTCACCGAGCAGAAATGAAACGTGAGACATATATCTTTCCACAGTGTTGCTGTATCCAGCTGGTGGTGCTTGATTCGTTGGCCGCATAAATGTATATCCTGAGATTTTTTCTTAAAATAAAAATAGACATTCATTAAAAATGCTTCTCTTTTGATATCATGGTATATAGCAATGCATGCCTCAACATTGTATAAAATAGATGAATAAAATAAGACTGATGGATTAAATATTTACCAAATGAACTAGTTGTATAAATATATCCGTGATGCCGTAATATTTGTACGCAAGTGTTTGCTAAAAATGCTGCCAGTAAGAGAACAACAATTGTTAACACGATCACAAGACTCGTGTCTCTTTGAAGAAGATGTTTATGCTTGTTATGTGCAGCTATCTAAAAAAAATTGTTTTGTACATAATTATCTATTTATTAATACAAAGAAGTCTCTTAAATTTTAAGACTTAAAAATTCAAAAAATTAAAGCTCTCAAACTTTCAAGAGAGTGTATAAAATGTATATAAAATTTTATCACTTCATGAGGCCTTGGGTAAATGTACGATTATTCAATAGAGATTAGGTAAAAATAATCTCTAAAAATTCCAGACCTTTTCTTCACTTTGAGAGACCAAAATTTCACACTAAAGTAACTAAACCTTTGACAGAATCTATGATTTATTGCAGTTAATTTTTACGATATTTACTTGCATAGTAGCGGCTCCCAAAATACCCCAAGTAAGAAAGACTTCTGAGGCGGCAGCTACCCATGACTTGCTGTTAATGAAAAATTCTGCCCAAACGGTAGCTGGAAACAATTGGTTAATGGTACCTGGCGGAGTTAATCCCAAAAGCTTTGTGCATAGAATTAACGTTCCAAATACAGGTACTAGAGTGAAAACATAGACAACTTTCCCATATGATCGGAGACCTGTAAGAAAGAATTTATATATAACGAAGTTAATCACAAAAACAAATAAAAGTTTTCTTTTTAGTAATAAGAAACGTAAAATTAAGAGTTATTTAAACATTGTCCACTTTTGATTAAATCAAAAATCTCAATAGTTTATCATCCACAAAATCTTATATATTGCTATGACCTATTATAGTGATTCGAAGAATTATATTTATTAAAGAAAATTTTATTAATATTATCGTTTTTTTAAGAATCATTAAATCATCACAAAGGAAAGAATGACTTATAATAGCAATAATAAATGTACTTGGATGTAAAAAGAATCTTAATGATTCATTTTCACTTTTTTAGCTTTTCATAAAAACCACAAGTAATAACCTGTGGTATTTTTATTCTCACAGACATATTTATGTTTGTCTTTTTTATAAATAAATAAATGTCAAAATTAGCTAAGATTACTGTGTAAAATGTCAGTTGCTAAACAACTACTAACCAATTATGTATTTTTGGAAATTTATGATAATATTAATAGGGTTTGAAATAGAGTTGTTGGCAAAAAATAATTATTGGTATTTATTTTTACATAATATTAATCATTAATTTTACACTCGAAATAACTCATTCATCGCTAAAAACTTGGCTTTTTTTTTGTTTGCAGAACCATTTTGATATTAAATAATTATGTTTAGTCAAATAATGAACTATTTTCAACGTAAGTCCAGATATCATTAACTCTTTTCGATTTTTTTTGTAAAATATTTATGTCATTGAAGAAGAAAAATTCACAACTTTTCAATTCCATCCTATCGTTTTTTTTAGAGTTTGCAAAAGTTATTTTCACCGTTTACAAGTGATGCTTATGAGAAGTAGAGTGAGTAAGTATAAGTTCGTTTAGTCACATTTGATGTAGATATTAATCGTTTTTTTACTCGATTGCATGCACCGATAATATTTAGTTTTGTTAGAAATAAATTTATTTGTGAATATTTTCAATTTTTACGTTATGGTTGTGGAAAATCTATTTATAATATTGATCACATTTTTCTATATTTTTAAACCATTTTCAATCATTACACAGAGAGAATTTTTTGCACTAAACTAAAATAATTGATTAAAAAAATATATATTGCGCACTTTGTGCGTATAATATTATAGTTTCAAATGAATCGAAAATTAAAAATTCAATGTTTAATGTGTTTAAAAATAGCAAATTGATAGAAAGTATATCATTAAAGTGCAAAATGGTTCATTATTGATTTGTTTACATTTAAGAAGTGAAATGAATAGTGTATAAATCATTAACTCCTCTGAATGTAGAAGAAAACAATAAACTCGTATATAAGTGTATCGATAATATATTTTTGTAAATTTCTAACATACCTTTACTCAAAGAAACAAATACAATCATCCATACAACCGCAAGATTGAAAGCAACTTGAAACTTGAGAGTTACCACTCCGGGATCTGGTTCATTCAGATGATGTCTTTGAAGGACGATTCCACTGAAGTAATCAGGCACTGTTTCGTGTAATTTATAAGATGTTGAATAGTTATTCGGTTTATTATCATCGCGAAAAAGTGAAAAGGGTTCAGCCCAACGGTATTTATCTTGCTTTGTAATAAAAGAATCTCTATAAAAAGCAAAAAAACCAATTAAGTTATCAATATAAAATACATAAAAAAAGGTATTTTCAGTAAGATAAATTTTACCTAAAATAAACAAACATCCACGAAACTCCAATAATACTGTAAATACCAATAAAGGCATGTGCAACAAGTAATGCAATACCAACGCCATGAAAGACAGGTGAAATCCTCCACATGTCAACAGCTCCCGCAGACAGACGTTGACCGAGGCACACATGAAATGTAAGCAATGGTATACCCAGAACCAATGACAAGACTAAAAACTGTACTATGAAATTAGCTGTGGAGGACAAGCAAACAATTAATAGAACATGAAATTTATTTTTAGAACTTTAACCAATCATTGAAGATAATTAAATTTATTAAAAATATAATAATTACCTCCAAATTGAACACTAAGTATTGCAAATCTGCTGATATTAAATAAGCCCAATGTGCAACCGAGACAAGCCAAGGCCGGGCTAAGTGCATGAGGCCATTTACCCAAAGGATTTTCGTCATCATCTTCATCTTCACCTCGTTCATTTTCGCGGTCTGTTTCTCCTGTTTGTCTATTGCCAACACTGAAAAAAATTTCATGTTAAGTTTATATTTTTTTAAATATTCGTTATAATGCATGTTTTTTTTTTATTACTAATGATAATTATACATATTATGGAAAGGATTTTATAAATGCTAGAAATATGTTTATAATAGTTTCAAACGGTATTTTTTTGATGTGGTGAAATAAGTCATTATTGGTAGGAATTAATTTTTCATTTGAAATAATTTTATTGCTTTCTTTGTTTTTATAAATTGCAATCTTCAGAAATGATTCATCTTAAAAATTTATTTTACATATTTTGTCATTAAATTTGTTGTTTTGAAAGAAAAAGTAAAAAATGACTAATTATATAGAAAAAATCATCCAATTGAAAAAAGAAAATAAAGATTTAGTTTAAATGATCAATCAAATGAAAATAGGTTTTTTTAGTTTGAAAATTATGTTGTGTTTGTCTCCATTTGTTGTTTAATAACATTTAATTCAAGTTCTTTGTTGATATGATGTATTACCATAATAATCACATATCAATCAGTTTATTCAAAATATCATTTTTAATAAACAAATATTTTTATTTTATTTTAGGTGAATCCACATATTAAACCATCATTCCAAAAGATAAAAAAATCAACTGTATTTAAATTATCACGCTTTTGTATCATCAAATGAAATATCTTTCAGTTCTAAGGACAGTTTTAAAAGAAGTCTTTAATTGTTTATTTGACCAAAAATTCTTAGCACTCATATGTAAATATCTCAAAAATGCTATCTTTCAACAAAAAACTCAAAATTAATTATGGAATGGAAAACTCATTGTCCCTTTTTGAAGTGTAATATTCAATTATTTAGAAACAATCTACCATTGTCAGAGATAATTGTTCTCTTAAGGCAACGGAACTTTGGACGATGGACAAGTTAGATTTTACTCTTTACTGCATCTTCTTATACTAAGACTTGTTTGTCAACACCTGGAAATAATGGTGTACCCTAAATAATTACCCAAGTACCTCTCACGTTTTTGTCTTTCCAACTTGGTACGTACATTAAGAATAGAGATAAATATATCTGGTAAATAAAAATTTTTTATTACTCAAAATTGGTAAATCTTAGTAGATTAATATTATATTATTTTATATCAGGGTATTAAGCAGAGGTTGGAGGAATATCAAGTATATCATAACGATATTTAATTCGACACTTGATCTGTTAATGACGTTGAAAGACCTCGTAATAAACTTGAAATAAAATTCACAACAAAGTCCAACATGATAAGTTTTATGTATTAAAAATATTAAATAATGTTCAGATAAGAACATCGACAAAATAATTACTACTCAAATAATTGACACTTGGAGCATAAATGCACTAAGTAATTTTCAATGGTCTCTATTAATGATATCTAATAGTTATATAAGGTTAAATACATGAATAATAAAGCATCAATTTAATTAATAAAAATAATGTAATATAAAATGTCTAACCTTGAGTTGGATTTTCAATGTGCAAGTATACATTAGTAGAATACAATATAATTGCATGAGATCGTAATAGAAACCGAATGATAGTCAATATAATAATCAGACTAATTAAGATATAAAAAAAAAAATATGAATACTTTGCTGTTTACCTCGACGTGACTTTGAAACAAGTTAGAGGACTAGCTAAAAAAGAATCTTCAATTATCAAGGTCTACTAGTCTCTTGAAGCTGCATTTATTATGTTGAGTCTGGATCGAATAGTGGATTTTTTTAATTGTAAAAGAATAAATAACAAATTGAGTATATATATATATTTGCTACCAAACTGCAATTCAACATAGTCAATGAGAGTTAGAGTGCATTTTTGGGAATACCTTATTAATCTTTGTCGTCGTTGACTGTAATAAAAATAACCCCTGCATATTGTTGAGTCGTAGTTCATCATATTGGTCTCATATCTGGCGTCCAGAGGTCGGAAAAACCGCGGGAACCTCCTGACTTATTCGAGTAGCCTGATACCTCGATTTCCCGAGCGCGTCAAGTCGACTCGTTCAACAACTCAACATTACACACAACATGACAGTCGTGAAACGCTTGACACTTAGGCACACAACTATACTAGTAGTTAAATTACGTGCTGATTACATGTACCACTGCAATCATTTTCTAATGAAGTTGTAAAAAAAAACTGCATTATAATTGACACAGTGATTTCAAGATTTTGCTTCAATGCCAAACCTGTCTATAGTGATGATCATTAAGATATTCAATTAAATAAATCGTGATTAATTTTAGTCATTTACACTTTTTTGCATTTATTGTATTTTAATTAATTTTTGTGCATTTATAAATCACTCCTAATATTATGTCACTTTTAAAACCACAAATTTTCATTACTGGCTGTTTAATTGACGTAATTCTGTTAGTTGATCAATAAAAACAAACTTAATGCTACACATTTCATAAAAAATAAAATAAATAGAGATTATAAATTTACACAATATAGAATAATGTGACAAAGAGTGTTAATTAAAGACAAAACAAAGTCTACTAATGCATCAAGCAATTAAAATTGTACCGAGTAGTTTGACTTGCATCGACCGAGTTCACTTGACTGACGCGATTCAACTCGGATACCTTAGGCCACCTTATAGGCCTTGACGGCCACCACATATGTAGCCTGAACTTGCTGGATAACTGTAAGCAACAGTCACGTGATACCGCAACAACTTCTTCATTCTTTCCTCAATTAATTTTTTTAGTTCAATGCACGTGGTAAGCCCATGTTTATTTTTTATCATGACAATACGGAAAACAATCGTAAAAAATTTCCCATTTTATTGACTCTCATGTATGATAATAAGCTACATGTTATGTATTCTGATCAAACAAAAATAATCTGTAGGTTTTATATTTGTGTGAAGAGAAACAACAAGTATAAATGTCAAGTATACATTAGCCACGTTGGCCAAATTATCAACATCTAGACTTTGTTACTACATACTAAATTGCATCTGAAAAAGAGAAGAGGAATTATGTATGCATTTGTCACCGTAGTGAAGAACAGTGAAAAGTATGTGATCGATTATTCACTAGATCATTGCATCTGCACTGAATGAGGGTATGAGACTCAGAGGGAATAGCGAAGAGTGGGAGAAGTGTATTGGCCGGCGTGGAGGAACTTTGTGAGTGGGGAAGCAGTGCAGCGTTTTGTGCAACATCGTTGCAGTGAGGGTATTAGGAGCTCAGCTGTAGGAAGAGGTAAATTCGCGCGCTGATGCAGTTTTATATAGTATATATAACATTGCAAATGCTTTTAGAGAACAGTGGAGTCATGATGCGTGTGAGTCATGCAATTTTCTTATCCATACCTCCTTCCTTACACACCACATTAGTATCAATCACTTCTTTCTCCAGACCTACGTTGGCATCAACCGCTTCCAAATATCTTTTTCGATCATTATTTTTAGCTGACTAGCATTATGTTGATTTGTTTATGAAGTAATTTTAAATATAAATGACTATGTTGTTTTTTTCTAAAGTCGATTGCAAAGTTTACATGTTGGAAGAAGATGGTTAAAAAGTAGTTGAGATAAATGGTGAAAAAACAACCAGTATACTGATGGAAGTGTATGAGTCTTCTCAAATTGTTATTTCTGTGTTTATAGCCGAAGGTCAACAATTTGTAACTGATAAACTGGTTTGCTAATTAGATTGGAGTTGAAAGTTATTTGAAAAACTGATCAGTTGGCTCCAAAATATAACAAAACATGGCGATAAAATGAAGACTAGGATATAATTAAAAACTGAAAATCATAATTATGCTGTTAATCATTGAAGGATAATTAATTACTTGTGCTATTTACAAGTAAAGTTGTTTGAAGAAAAAATCTGCAATGAATGATACTTTGTATTGAAATAGATTTAACTAAAGTATTTAATGAATAAAGTTGAATTGAAGTAAATATAAAAGAACCAAATAGATTAAGTTAGCATTGAAGATAGTAGAATTTATTTTATAAAAAACATGTAGTAAAAAAAGAATAAATAAACTTGATTGTAATTTAATAACAAGATAACTAGATTATGTGAATGGAAAGAATGTTATCAAAGACAGAAATTTATGCAAATGAATAGATGTGAAACAACTAATTTGAACACAGGTCAGAATATCTATTCTTTTTTTGTAAATTGAAATAAATACATATGTGTCTATAGAAGACTAGATAATAAATAGTTATCAGAATGTAAAAAAAAATCGTAAATAGCTCTAAACGTCGATCATAAAACAGTTACTCAGGTATGTATTTTGTTCCTTATTGCAGTTATATCTGAAGAAAGTGAATCAACTTATGACTAAGTAAATTTCGTAGTAAAATATATGAAAGATGTGCTAATCTTTCGGAATCTTAATTCTTGAATGCTCTTGAAATTTTGTTATTCTCTTCCGTAATATTCTTTCATTGTTTTGACTTAGAAGCAAGACGCTACACTTTCTCGAACATATTAAAATGCTTGATTGAAAAAAAAACGCCACATTCGTAATTACCCTACTTTTCTCTAACTTATCAAAATAAATGCATAATATTTTCGCCTTTGTATTTATTCATTTTCAATTGTTTATTTATAAGTTAGAATTCACCCTTTATACTAAAGTTTTTGCACCTATATAATCTTTTATATTGTCTTGAAACAGATGATTTCTATAGCAAACTTTTGATTATATATAGTCAATATTATATGTATACATAACTCTTATTTATTTTACCTGCTCATAATAAAATAGCATAATCATACTTCAAAATGATCCTTAGAAACAAATAAGCAAATACTGTTATATACTGTTATATATAGTAGTTATATACTGTATACATACAATGAAGATATACTCTTTGAAGCACTAGTAATCGATACAATTATATACTAACATGTTTCTACCACCTAAAGTTATTATCTATTTGTTCATAACATAGATACATAAACAGCATATAAGAACATTAATTAATATTTGATATTGATTGTGCTGTAGCAAGAAGCATATATACACATTTTGCTCGGTTTAAAAGTTATTATTTTTGTATCAAAATCATGTTAAATATTCTCTTATATACTGACTTCAGCTGATTGAACACAATTATTCTTTTATTAAATTAATAATCATAAATCTATAGCTGCTAAAATTTGGAAGAAAAAAAGGAAGATCACTGAATCACTGAATGAAAACTCTAAAAATAAACATATTTGGTTTGTTCGTAAGGTAAACTGGAAATTTTAAAAGATTTGCGAACATTATAATGATAAAAAGTTTACTGAAGTAGTAATTGATTGAATAATTCAGTTTTTTAGATTCAGTTAACCAGTAAATGAATAAATAATCAATACAGGAACTATTTAAGATTAGAGTAGATACTAACAACCGTTAAATCAAAGTGAAAAAGCTACCATTAAGTGTATATCCAATTATAAAGTTTTTATTTCATGATAAATGTGAGTCTACTTATACCAATATAATAATAAGCTTATTTGTTACCATTCAATTATTGACTCATAAACAATTTTATGTAAACTAAATATTTTTCTTTTGACATTGAATATATCTAGATATTCTGCAGTTCTATAAGTTGAATTCATTTTCATAAAAAGTTAACAATTTTTCGATAAGCTGCAATTAAAATGTTGCTAATTACATTGAACATCAGTGACATCATACCAATCCTACTTAAACAGTTTGTAGTTATACTTCTATTAGTTATGCAGTTGCGTTGCAGCGTACCAAATATGATGATATTATACAAGTACACATTTAATGGACATGATGCCATACTATGACTCCATAAACACAGTTCTATTTCCAACCTTGCTTGAAACAATTACATTTTTTCCATCAAAGATTTTTTCCATGTATTTTAGAGTTGACATACTCCATTCAAAAACGCTATTAGATCTATTCTATTTACAATTGTAACAATCATGATATCTTTCAACAATATCTAATGATTGTCATCATTTTATGTATATTGAGTACAATGTAATCTAGTGACTCTGTCAATAGCTTATAAGCACATACATAATTATGTTGTTGAGTCTTTAAAAAAGCATGGAGATAACATATGAGATCATTCACATTCTTGCTGGTAAATAGGTACGTCAACCCAGTACATTGCATCGGTGTCAAACATTGATCGTGCGTAGGTAGACGAACTGGAGCCACGCATCCTGATCACTTCACTCAGTACATCTAAACTATCATACTAATGCGGAAGAGAAAAAGACAGAGTAATAAAAATTTATACAAAACACAATGGAAAAGAAATTCACCAATTTTTGATGATTCATAACCATTGCA